GCCGAGTCCCTCAATGAGGAGCATCGTCAAAGCGCGAATGCAGTCACACCACCTGGGTACTCAACCAAAGTCGAGCGTTTTGATGATTTCGATGTCAGCTCTTCCCAAAAGTCGCACATGAACTGGGTCCCGTTTCTGGCAACGATTTTCCTTGAAGCAATGCCAGTTTGACATTGCTCCTGTGATGGGCTGGCAGCACTATACTTGATCCCTGAGCCACAATGACTCAACACCACTCGCAACCGCCACTGCAGCCAGCACCCAGAACGCGAGTCCCGCGAAACCTATCCGATCACCGACTTCATAGACCTTTCCCGTGACCAGCGGGCCTACCGATCGTGTCAGGCAACCAAATGAAGCCGCTGCGCTATTGGTTCGAGCGAGGAAACGTTCGGCTGATGTGGTTTTAGCGATTCTAGCAGTTCGTCAGACGGGTCAGTCCCAATTTCTTGAGGTAAGCCGGACTACCAGGAGACATACAAAATGGTCGAGCAAATGTACCCAATCGATGACAACACAACGTTGAACCACAACTCCAGAACGACCAGCATTAGCGCCAATGTGCTGGACGTCACTGAGAGTCCCAGGCAGAAATAGTGTAAAGGTGTAGACGACCGGGTAGGCGCAGAGCACGACACGGTATGCCTGGAGTGGCCCCATCTTGTTGATAAACCACGACACGAACCGTATTTGGGCGATGGCTGCAATTATGGCATGAGACAGGAGTATGAAGCCTATTGTTGGACCACGGTACCCGAAACCACCGGCCAGCTTCTGTGTTGAAATGTCTGGGGGAGCCGCGAGGTAGGCAGGCATGATGGCATCTGAAGAGACTTTGTGGAAGGCCAGGAGAGAGACGGACAGAGTCTGGAGGATGAGCTGCTTGGTCAAGGCTCTCATTGGACGTATGATTTTGTCGTCTTCGTGGCCAGAGACATTGCTGACATCCTCTTGCTGGGTATTGTCAAGTATCTCTAAACTTTCAAAGCCCTCCTGATTAGCGTCAACCATCTCATAGTCATACTCCTGCCCGTGCGAGGATTGCCTTCCAACAATGTCACGGCCTACTGCAAGGGCCCAGTCCGGAATTTCTCGGAGCTCCGGGTGCGTCTCCTCTAGGAAGAGAGAGGTGAAGATCAACGCAAACAGCTGCAGAGACGCTACCACGGGATTGGGTAGCAAAAATGGATAGGTTGTCCATATGGAACCAGGTGGGAACACCGACGGGTAGTTTTTGCCTGGCTCTGCCAACATGCCTCCAAGAACTGGGCCGATGAGATTGCTGATATGGGTTAGATCCAGGCAGGCCTTCTGAGTGGAGTATCCACAAGCTGTCCATGTGTCGTACATATTCCAAAGACCTAATAAACGTCACAAAGGACAAAGCAGAAGCTTCTCTCCCCTGTCTTGTCAGCATTCAATAGCTCTAATGTTGCTTCAGAGCTAACCTCTTTGCCCATCCTTTCTTGCAACCTCACCAGTACACGCTGGAACTAACCCGGTGTTGGGGTTGAGAAGACCACCAAAAGCCCTCGATGCGGCAGCACTGGCTATGGAATGTGAAATACGAAGCCATCCTGAAGTTATCATGCCACACACTGAACCGATGAGAAGGCATCTCTTTCAACCGATCTTGTCACTGACGCGGGACCAGATCATGCCACTGAGGAATTCGGAAAAGGTGAATATTGCAATGAGGAGGTCAGCGTAAAAGGATATCTGCGCATCAGGGACTTCGTTGAAAGAGCCGATCATGAAATAAACATATGGGAAGATGCTGGTCCATGCAATGGCCTTGGTTGCTCGTAGGGAGCCTAGGCTCAAGTCAGTGATGTCGATGTACTGAAAAACAGGCGAGCTGTCGTACCCACCGAGACAAATAAGTTGCAGACGGATATCAGCAATTGGCCCGACGCTTTCACTGGTTGAAGCCATCATCTGAATGATATTCATATGGTGAGATCGATGTCTAAGGTATCTGTCAAGGCCGGAAGGGCGGGGTCAAACTGCAGGTGAGCAGTACTCGACGTGCACCTGCCCCACAATATCAAAGGTGAGTACCACATTGAGTACCTCATCATCGCAGCATCTCAAGTCAGACCTGGTCCAGCACTTGATGATGCCAGGTTGGCCCAGCCTTTGACTCGATGTGACAGTTTGAGCGCAGAACTCCATGAATGTGCATGGCACCTGTTGGCAGCTGGTAAGGCAGCCAATCCGAGCCAGAAGATGTCAAATCGTATATGGGGTCCAAAAAGGTGTCAATTCTGGGGTTGCACGAGGGTGAGTTAGTGGCTCAGGTCCCACCGCCAAGATAGTAATTCCTTAACAGTGGGCCCAATTAACTATTCTGACAGAAAATAGCCGGAAGGTGCAGCTGCCTTGGACCCCTCTTTCAACTCAACCAAGCCTTCCAGGTTGACTGTCTCCAGATGATCAACACGTCTTTCGCCCAAGAACTTTCTTATTGCATCAGGTAACTTACAGAGATGGCAAGTACGGCCCCTACCCTTTTAATGCCCAATCAGCTGACAACGTCTTTGCCCCACAGCTTCAAAAATTCCGAACGTCTTTTCATGTCAAGCCACCAGCATTGGACCCAGATCCATTCGGTCTCACATTGATACATGATGCGACAAACTCTGTGGGCGATATCATCTTCGTCCATGGCCTTGGCGGTTCTTCCCGTCGGACATGGTCGTGGAATCGCGATCCCGCTATCTTTTGGCCGTCCTGGCTCCGCCATGAAGAGTCCTTATCTCATTACCGAGTATTCTCATTCGGTTACAATGCAAATTTCCGCGAGTCGGGGACTCCTCTAAGCATCCTGGACTTTTCCAAAAGCCTTCTAGTCAGGATGAGAGCATATGGACAAATGGACACTGCTTTTATTGGAACTGTGAGCCTCAGCTTACCCCTTTGCCCCCTTTAGGCTGAGCACCCTGCTGATGATGAACAATTCACCGACACAGAAACCAATAGTATTTGTAGCACATTCTATGGGGGGACTGGTTGTCAAAAAGGTTCGATCAATCCCCATGATGGCCACCTTAGCCGTCGAGTATAGCTGATGAAACCCAACTCAAGGCACTCCTTCTTGGCAAAAATGATGAAGAATATTGTGATATGGTGGCCCGAGTTCATGGTATTATGTTCTTGTCCACTCCTCACAGGGGTTCCTCGCACGCGGCTACCCTCAACAGCATGCTTTCAGTTATCGGATCGTCTTCTAAGGTTTATGTTGCCGAGTTGAATCCATCTTCGACATCCATCGAAGATATCAACGAACAGTTTCGTGTAATCTGTGCACCTTGGCAACTTGTTTCCCTGTATGAAACACAACAGACCAGGCTCTCTCCAGGGTTAAGGAGAATGGTAGGCTTATTCCCCGACGGCGGTTTCTAGATGCTGAATTGTCTTTGCCACAGATTGTCGACAAAGGCTCGGGTATTTTGGGTTACCCAAAAGAGGTTTCTGCTCCGCTTGATGCAGATCATCATACAATTTGCAAATACCGAAGCCGCCTTGACTCCAATTATCTTTTGGTGGTAGATTTGTTAAGGCAACTGACTCGAGGAATCGGAAGCCACCATTCGAGTCAGTGGCGCCCACTCTGGTTTCACGACTGCGACACCGACTAATACCAAATACCCTGTAGCAATAGCTCCCAATGTCCTTCACAAACAGGGCACCTCTCACGTTGAAATGCTCGAGTCAATACTAGGGGTTAAAGGGAATATTCGACGGGTGCTTGACTATCACCTGGCTGACGCCCTTCCAGGCTCATGTGAGTGGCTTCGAAGGGATGCACGATTTGCAGAATGGATTGATACATCGGGCCAATCACCGCACGTCCTGTGGCTGGTAGGGTTACCAGGAACAGGAAAGTCGACACTTGCCGCGAAGACCATCGACCATATCCAGCAAACTCTTCATGAATCGAACTGCCAGTACCATTTCTTTTCAGAGAGTGACCCGCTGAAACGGGACTTGTCCTTGTGTCTTCGAGCGATTGCCCTGCAGTTGGCCATTGCCCATCCACCTCTTGCTGGACGACTCATTAAGTTCCACCGAGACACGAATTTCTCAGCTGCAGAGCAAACCTTTGCTCGTATCTGGGATACTATTTTCGAGAACATCATCTTTCCAATCGACTTCGGGCACTCGCTGCACTGGGTTTTCGATGGTCTGGATGAGGCGAACCAGCCACATTTTCTTGTACGGCGTTTGATGCTCATGCAGTGCCGAACAACCATCAAAATACTGTTTATCAGCAGACCACAAAGAAATCTGACGGCAATTTTGACCACCAAAATTGGAGCTGGGAGCCTAATAGAAGTGTCTGCTGAACAGACACGGGGCGACATCGAGCATTACATCTTGACGATAGCGAGGGAACTCTTTACTTCGGACCAGCTCTCTCAACAAGAGGTGATTAAAAAAATACTTGAAGGGGCGGAAGGATCTTTCCTCTGGACAAAGTTGGCACTCGACACCTTGCGGGACAACTGGCATACGCTGGCTGATATCGATATTGCCTTGGGGGATGTACCAAATGGAATGCACGGGACATACGAACGAATGATGGAGAAGGTCGAAAGTCAATCGGCGCGGCCACGAGAACTGGCTCTGCGGATTCTGACCTGGGTCTGCTGTTCCTACAAACCTTTAACCATATCCCAGCTTTCTGTGGCCTTGAAACCCGAGTTCGATGGCTTTCTCAAGCTCGAGGAATCAATTGAGCAGGTTTGCGACCAGTTCGTCCGTGTGAACGAAGGCCGAGTGTCACTCATTCACGCCACTGCGCGCGAGTTTCTCCTCCATGCATCACCCCAAGGCTCGGCTGCAGCCATTGATCAACAGAGTGGCCATGGACGTCTTGCCATTTGGTGCCTACGTTTCCTATCTCAGGATGAGTGGCGACACAGGTTCTCGGCGTGCCAACAAGAACATATCTCCGCAGATCGACTCGAAGCACTGTATCCCGAATTCCCTCTCTTACGGTACGCCATCAGCCACTGGGCCTATCACGTCAGCAATGCAAGGACCAGTTACTCCGATTTGATACCAGCTCTGGAAGCCTTCTGCAACAAATACATTCTGCACTGGGTCCACGGCCTGGCTCTTTCTCGCAGGTTGGACCTTGTGGTTACCGCAGTCCGTCATCTTAGCACATGGGCCGGTCGAAGACGACTGGAGCCACAGGTGGACGTAGAAGGCTTGTGTGTCACGGGTATTGAGCAGTCCACCACCGAAAGCTCTATTCTGCAGGGTTGGATGACCGATCTGATACACATCGTTGCAAAGTTTGGATCGAATCTCCTCCGAAGCCCATCGTCCATATACAAGAACGTCCCATCACTATGCCCCAAGGGATCTGTCACGTCGCATACTTATGGCCAAGGAGCCAGCTCACTTCTGTCTGTGAAAGGCCTAACAGCCACAGGATGGGACGATAGGCTCGCGCACATCACCATTGGAGAAGACGAGATTCTATCCGCTGTTCGGTGTGCTGGGCGTTACTTCATTGCGCTCAACTCTTACAACGGGGTTGTTTATGTCTGGGACAAGGACACCTTCCAAGAGATTAGGGGACTGCAGCATGGCGAATGGGTCATGCTGCTGTCAACTGACAACAGTGGACGGCTGGTTGCCACGGCGGGACGGCACACATTTTACGTCTGGGAACTAGCCACCGGCAAGCTTCTCTACAAGGTCCCCAAGACCAATCCTTCGCGGACCGTGAGCCTGGCCTTCGCGCAGGCTGATACCAAGCTTCTGATCGGCTATGATGACTGCACCTTGTCCTTGTACGACTTCGAAACTGCAAAGGAGGGGTTATCTTTCACCGTGGCCTTCAGCGAAGTGCCACAGCTGAGTTGCCCTAGGCTGATGGTTCTCAGCCCAAACCAAAGGAAGATAGCAATCGCATTTCCTGGTCAACCTGTGGCTTTGTGGGATATTTCACAGACACAGGAAGGAAACGCAAGGCCGCGGCTTTGTGTGCGCAGAACTGACAAAGATGTAGAGGTGAACGGGGGAGGGATGTTCAACTCAGCTGAGAGGATAATATGGTCCCCTGACGGCTTCATCGTCTACATCCTCTACCAAGACACCACGGTACTTGTGTGGGATCTCGCAGAAGACGACCAGATTGAGCGCAACAACACCGGGGCGAAGGAAATGGCCATCAATAGCCAGGGCACCTTGCTCGTCACCAGCAATAATGATGGAGCAATCCATCTCTGGAGTCTTCCCTCTATGCAGTGGCTTTATGAGCTGAGGACGGACGAGTTCGTTCGTGATATTCGTTTCAGTCCTGACGGCCAGCGCATCTACGATGTTCGGGGGTCAGGATGTAATGTGTGGGCACCGGATGTTCTCATCTCACCAGATGTGATTGGTCATGAAACGCGTTGCATCTTGGATTCCTCACCTTCCGTCGACAGTACGAGGCAACAACAGCAACAGGATGCACACATTGCAGCTCTGGTATGTGACGAGCACGAGGAGTTTTTCTGTGTTGGCCGCGATGACGGGTCGATCAACATCCATGACCTGAAAAACGGCGCAGTGGTCAGGAAGGCATACAAGCACGAGAACACTTCTGAGGTTGTCGCGATTGAATGGTCGCGCTCCCGGCGATACATTGCCTCAGCTGATGACTCTAGCAAGGTCGTGGTGAAGAGGCTCAGGGTCAAGGAGGATGGGAAATGGGCCGTGTTTCCGGTTTTTGACTTGCGGGTAGGGGATGTGGTGACACAGATGCTGTTCAACCGGGATGAAACTCTGTTGTTGATAAGTACAGATTCGTCAGTCCGTGTATGGGATGTGAAGGCAAAGGCTGAGACGTGTAGGAGGCGATGGGAGTCCGTGGCCGGCCATAGGTGGTTGAACTATCCTGATACTTCGGCTCGTCTTATTCGGTTGACTGCAGAGGGAGTTTGCGTCCATGCTTGGGCTGACTTGACAAATGAGAAGGAGCTGGAATATGAGATGCCGGCTGTCAAGGACCGCAATGATGACGAGAAAAAAGGCGATACTCCCGATACACCGACCTCACAAACCCCATCCCATTCGACACTACAAACAACACCACCCCAGGTCCCACTAGAAATAATTACAGCAGTTTGGCAGCCCACCAACGCTCAGTACATTCTTTACCAAACTCGATCCTCCCACCCCACGAGAGACAGAGGCAATGCCTTCTACCTCCTCCATATAAACAATGAGTTTTTCTCACGAACGAAACTGTCACCCCTCCTCAGCAGTCGAGTCCGTCACATTCTTGGATTTGTCCAGGACCAACTGGCGTTCATTGACTGTGACAGTTGGATCTGCACGGTAGCGGTTCTTCATCACCATCAGCTCGCAGTAGGGGAGGCAGTGAAGCAGCATTTCTTTCTCCCTAGCGATTGGGTTCACTCTTCTCTTACGCTGCAGGTCATAAGTCGACGAGGGGTATTGCTGGTGGCGAGGAATGGCGAGGTGGCGATTGTGAGGTATATGAAAGGGTTTTGAGGCATGATTGAGGACGGCATCGTGGCCGGAATGACCCTATATCTGGGATAAAATAGACAGTTGCTGAAAGTAACGTTGACGCGAGTCATGACAACTCTATTTCCATCTCGTTCGGTAATATTATCAAATATTCCAAGACTTTGCCGAATACCCGGCTCCTGCCTCTTATTGTCCAGAAGTGTGGTGCGGTGAGTTGTTCGAAGTTAGTGGTTCTCGTGGACGGACATCTGCGCTTCGAGAGATCGTCGCTTCAAAAGATCCTCGCTGAAAAGAATCACGTTTATCTTCTCCAGACGTGGAAACCCTTAGTGGACAGTTATCAACTGTCCTCATTCTGACATGCATGACCCCGCTCTTATTCCCAGATAGCTGACAGCCAAACATCCAGATGCATCGATATTAAAAGCAGATGATCTATTGAACATGTTAGTTTCATGGACTGTGTGGCGCCGCAAACCGGACATCCTAATCCCGCCCGATAATGCCGGCGTTGACATATCCCCTCACCGGCCTTGTGCCTGTTGCACTTCTCACCCTTGGTTTCTCCCTCATCAACAACTTACCTTACCTCATACCTTCGGCGCGGCGATATTCACCTTCATATCTCTCGTCCAACAACACAGACCAAAACAATGGCCGAACGTTCAAATCTGACTTCAAGGGCTATCCCATCAATTACACTCCGTTTTCCAAGCTCTCCAGCTCCGACACCGTCCGACTTGCACGATGGAAATGCCGATACAAACCTAGCCATCGAACGCTTCCGAGTCTCCGGAGTTGCAGTCGTAGCTGGCGGAGCAGGCGATTTAAATGCTGCCTCCAGCAAAGCCCTTCTTGAACATGGACTCCAGAAACTAGCCATATTCGATGCCGCCACAGAAGATATAGCCAAGCCCGTCATCTTCCAGTTCAGTTCTGACTTCCCCTTTGCCAAGATCACATTCACCAAAGTCGATATCACTGATGCTGATGCTGTGGAGAAGGCAGTGGCCGCCGTTGTTCAGAACTCGGACCTATCACGATATTGGCCAACTTTGTCTGCATTGTGTGAGCGAGCATGCTATGCAGCACTCCATAGACTCGTGGAGGCAAACTCTCGAGGTTAACACCACCGGGTCATTAATCATTGCTCAGGCCGTTGCCAAAACAATGGCGGAGGCCAAAACAGGGGGCAGCATTGCTCGGGTGGCGAGCATATCGGGCACTTGGGTGAACTTCCCGCAGCTACAGGCTGGGTACAACGCTTCCAAGGCGGCTGTTATTATGATGAAGAGTTCTTTGGCTGTGGAGTGGGATCGGTATGGGATTACGGTGAATACCATCAGCCCCGGCTATATGAACACCATTCTCAACGAGGGAGAGGGACTTGATGAGGTGAAGAAGATTTGGCTGGCCAGGAACCCGATGGGGAGGATTGGCGAGCGGGAGGAGCTGTGTGGTGCTGTGGTTCTTCTTGCTTGTCGAGCGGGAAGCCACATCACTGGGGCAGATATCGTTGTGGACGGCGGTCAGTCTCTTTTGTGCTCTCGCTTTGAAGTCCTTTGGTGTATGAAAAGGAAAAGGCCATCAAACACATGAAGCTGGATTGTCAAATATGCACTCAACCTTTCCACAGAATTTGATGTTTCACTGTCGTCTCCAGACCAATTCCAAGCCCTGCAACTAATGCAGCAGGCCCAGTCTTCTGCCACGTGGCTACCCCGTGGCTACCCGGTGGCTCAAACTTGCCTACCACCTTCCTCCCCATGCTTACCTGCAGTGCCCCCACCGTACCACGCCAAGTGGCGTGATATGCCCAATCTCTGCCAATTGATATCATCAAACAAAGGAAAACAGTCCCGTGGTCTAGTGGTTAAGATTTCGCTCTTATACCTTTAAGTCGTTTCACGGCTAACGGTCATGATCAATGCGGATACCCGGGTTCAAACCCCGGCGGGACTAATAGTTTTTGTCTTTCCTTTTTGCAATGATTTTAGCCCCTACATCATGGAGACATTGAGTAGCTAAAGCTAGAGTTTGCAAAGTCGGCAGTGAAGAGCAAGACCTCCAAGGGTGTATATATTATTATTATATTTTGAAGGCTCTGAATATAACCCAGATATATATCAATAGCATTCGAGGCCTTGATCATCCTCTGTTGCAAGTCTCCATTACGTGTGCTGCGGCGTGACATCCTAAGCAGACAACACCCAAACGCCGTCCCCAGATCCCAGCGATATCCCTCCCCACATGATCCCTTAGATTCATCTTCCAAGTTCCATGAAAAACTCGTGATTCCCATGTGCTCCCCCCCTAGTGATGGAAACCCCCGTGACGTCTATTCCTAGGCCTCTGCCTTTGCCTCTGCCTCTCCGCCGCCTTCAACGCCTCCTCATGATAAAACGTCGCCCCCGTCACGGCCGCAACCCGGGTGAAGTCCTGTCCCAACTCCCCCGTTGCTCCGCTCCCCCACCATTGAAAGAAGAACACTGGCTTCCCCCACCCGAAATTCCTCGCGTACGCCCAGGAGGCGACGATTTCCCGGCCTTGCTTGTCGTAACCGAGTGGTGTTTCCTCCCCCTTTTTACCCTTGGGTTGGACACCCCGTCCTGTGACCCTCACGAGGTAATACCCGCCCCCTGCCCCCATCCGAGGGGATTTCTCCCTGGTCATACCAGTACTGACAATAGGGTTTTCCCTCCTGCAGATTGTCCTTATCTCTTGCGTCAAGGCATCTGCCTTAATCCATTCAAATACTTCGTCTCGGGTATTAATTCTCATCCGGAACTGGTAGATGTCCTGACTGGTCTGGGGCATGTCGATTGTTTCGTTGTGGGCGTTGGTGCGGTGGAGGATGATTTGGTAGTTTTCCGCGCCTTGGGCAGGGGTGCTCGTCCATTTGACGTTGCCAATTTGGGTGGTTGCTGTCCAGCCTGACTTGCGGTGTTGATGCTTGTGGACGGAGACGAGGGCGGGGGAGTTGTCTTTCTTGTGGGAGGTGGTGTGGAGAGATAGGCGGAGGGTGTCGCGGGTGGAGGAGTGTTTGGAGAGGTAGTGAAGGGGGGCTTTGTAGTTGGAGCCGGTGATTTTGAGGCCGCGGCCGGCGTTGCGGACGGCAAAGCGGTTGGGGAGGGAGTGAGGGCCGGGCACGTCGAGGGCGGGACCGGGCTTCATTTTGATACCGAGTTTTGGTGATTTTATGAGTGATGTATGTGGGCTTGGACGGACTGGAGATTCGAGGACTTCAGATAGGTGGGGGAGTTGAGACGGGACTTATATCCCATTTGCCATGCCCAGAAGAGGAAGCATGTTGGAAGTGGTTCGTGTGAGGTTTCATGCGCCCCGCGGCGGAGCTCGGTCACCCAGAAGCGGCTGCAAGAGACCACAGTGACAGCGCCTGGGAATGACCACAGGAGGGCACTTTCATGAATGCGAGATCCAGTCCGCGGAGTGGGTCTGAAGCCGGTGGTGGTCGGGGTGGGGCCGCCTTTCCGGGCCGGGTGGATCATGTTCCAAGAACTCAGCCGGGCCCAACAAGAACTTGAGACGGCAAAGCCACCCTGGTCAGTGTGAGACTTGAGTTGGACCAGTCATTAGTTGACCAAAAGAAGATATCGCCAGGTTGGATGATTACCGACTCGGTCGCTTCACCGCGCCAGGTGGTTGCTGGCACATGCAAAGAGTGTGCACAGCAGAGTGAGGTGGTGAGCCAGTTGCATCTCCCAGTGTCGAGGTGTGTGTGTGCGGTTGGAGAGCATGTAGGTGGAGCCATTTGTGACAGGTCTTCAGCAAGTAGATGGGAAACCTCAAACCTGTGTTCGCAATCTTGAAAGGTCTACATTTGCTGAGAGGGGAAACCCTGCTATCGAAATGTTCTCAAGTTCCAACACCAGCTGACATCTCAATTCAGCCCGTATAGCTCAGTGGTAGAGCGCATCACTCGTAAGACATCTCGACTTGACATGATGAGGTCCGCGGTTCAATCCCGCGTGGGGGCATAATCCTTACCTTTTGGTATTTGAAGCCTATATAGTTAGGGGAGAAACCTTTCCTCCGTCCGGTCACGTTTGTTTTACCTCCAAAATTCAAGTTAACAGGCGTGGCGGAATGATATTTTTGAATCCGATCCTAAAATGCGGATGGGACGTGCGCACGGAGCCGGGCCGGCCAGTATGGCCCGTGCATTACCGCCGAACTGTTGTGGATCAGCGACGGCACCCCTTCCAGAATGCACCGGCGGCAGTCTTGTTGATACGAGGTTTTTGGTTCTCGAGCTAGCCACGGAGGACGGCAAGGCGAGTGGAGATGTCCTTGCAAAGCCTCCCGTTTCAACTTGTTAGTGCTGACATCTGGTGGATAAGCCGAGTGAGGATGGTGTAAACTTTGACTTCTCGATAGACAGCACAAATGGCCAGTGAAGGCGGTAAAATATCTCTGTTAACCTTTTGGACTTCCCCAGGCCTTCGTGAGAGCGGCAATCAGTCGAAGAAAAGGTTCATGTCGCGTCTTATCGATACGCGCGTCAGATCGCACTGGGAAAATACTGGGTGCCTGAAATCCTTCTCCCAATGCGACAACTTGGCACCCAGCCAATGACACCATCTTCTGGAACCAACAACCAACAGACTGTCAGCCCACTGGCACTGCTTGGCTAACCCTCTCAAATTCGGAACTTGCACGAGCAAATCTGTTTATGGTGAGGATTTGTCCTTATGATAGCAAGAAACTGTTGTTTTGGCGATGCAATGTTGACTGTTCGCGCCTAAAATCTCATGTGTCAAATGCGCCGGTGATGTCATCGATCCATTCCACCACAGGAGCTCCATCCCCACGTTTGCGGGACTGCCCCGCTGTTGTTTATCAGGACGGCTGGCAGGTACACACTCAATTGGCTCATCTCTTTAAAGTAGAACAGCTAGCAATATTCTCTTGTGAATGAAACAGGCTGTTGGCATCGTTGGACTAGTTTCAGGGTCCAGGAAGACGCCGTCCGTACGCCAGTGATGATAACCGTTGACGAACACACTGCTTTTCAAACGGCTTCAAAGCCGCTGTTTGGAACTTGTGTCCTAGCCTTCGCAGCTCAGCAACCAATCATGAAGAGTCTGACACTGTCCAACGCGGCTTGGAAATCGGTACACCCCATGTCACCTCGCCCTGCCTCGTACTAAACCCCGATCCCAGGTCCACCATGCCCCCAATCCCGCCCGGTTGGGAGAATTTTGAACTTTTTTGTCCCCCTTTTTGTCCGTTGCGATTTAACTCTCAACATTCGGCCGGACCATACCACGCCGTCCTCTGCGATCCAGCCTCGGCAGCGGCCGTCCTTATGCCTTGCAGACCACTCCAGTGCTGCCAGCAATTGCCAACTGCCGAATCCGTCACCCGCTTGAACGTCAGGTCGGTGTCTGCTCGATAACGCGACCAGTCATCGATCCATCGAACGCTCCTGTCGCATCAATTCCACCATCATCCAGGAATCTCACTCACCCATGAACTCTCTGGCGACCTCACTTTGAGAACAAATTCTTCAACCTCCCAACCCCCCAGGGCTCACGACCCTCACCAGTGGCCCTCGGTGGCCCCCAACTCTCAAAATGCTCATCTCCATGCCCAGTCCCCGCCAGCTCATCACCATCCTCTCCGCCGCCCTCGCCAGTCTCCTCATCCTAAGCCTCATCATCCCCTCAAGCCGCGACACCGTCCGCGACCTCGTCCGCGAAAAGCTCCCCGGCGTCGACAACAAACCCTCCTCCAACAACGAAGAAAAGCGACCCAAATACAAACCCACACCAACCTACACTCCTCCTCCAGTAAAAGAAAACTTCCCCCTCCTCGCGACATCCACCCCGCCCCCGATCCCAAAATGGAACGTTCCTCCCCCCGACCTCCACCAGGAATACGATCTCCCCGTCGCGCCCCCCCTCTTGATCGGATTCACACGCACCTGGCCTCTGCTCCAACAAGCTGTGGTATCCTACATCACTGCCGGCTGGCCCCCAAGCCAGATCTATGTTGTTGAAAACACGGGGGTCCAACAGTCGAATGTCAGGGGTCAACTCTCGCTTCAAAACCCCTTTTACCTCAACCACGCCGCGTTGAAGAAACTGGGCGTCAACGTCGTCACCACTCCGACACTTTTGTCTTTTGCCCAGATGCAGAATTTTTTCTTGAGTTTGACATACACCCACAAATGGCCTTACTACTTTTGGTCGCACATGGACGTCGTAGCCTACGCCTACGAAGACGGGAAGCCGGGTCTGAGCGGGAAATACAACGAGAAGAACTACAAATCCCTGTACGAACTCGCTCTTGTTGCGCTGAAGGAAGCAAGAGAGAAGGATGATAGGTGGGGAATCAGGTTTTTTGCTTATGACCATCTCGCGCTGGTGAACCCAGCTGCGTTTGAGGATGTAGGAGGATGGGATACGCATATCCCTTATTATATGACTGATTGTGATATGCACTCCAAGTTGATTATGAGGAACTGGACGCAGAAGGATGCCAAGGCGGGGATTATCACCGATGTGGCGAGCGCGCTGGCGGATTTGAGTGTTTTGTATAGACTGGAGGGGGGGCCGGAGCCGAGTTTTGTTGATCCAAATCCGCCTCCGCCGAAGAAGGAGGAAAAGGAGAGGAGGGGGAAGAGTAGGATTAAGAGGGTGGGTTATGGGGAGGATGGGGGGCCGTTGCCGGCGGATAGAGATAAGAGGGAGGAGGATCCGAATTGGAGGAAGTGGAGGAATTTGGTTATTACGGCTGATAAGCAGTTTCGTGAGTTTTTTTTTTCCTTTTTGGTCTTGTGATGTTGGGATGGAAGACTGACTTGAGGTGAATTAAACAGAACATAAACATGGGGATAGGGAGAGGAATACTTGGCAACTTGGGCAGCAGGGTGGGAAGGGGGAGCCGTTTTATTATCCGGCCGTTGGGTTGGCAAAGTCGATTGAGCTGATGACGGAGACGGGGAGGGAGGTTTTCAGGCAGAAGTGGGGACATAGAGGGTGTGATTTGGTTTCGGGGGCTAAGTTGAAGTATGATGATGCTTGGATGGTGGAGAAGGATTGGTAGATGGGTAAGGGAAGGGAGTTTTGGTTGGTGAATTTTAATGGTTTTATGAATAGGGTGTTTTCTTGTATGATATATAGATATGAGTGAGGGATGGATGTATATCTCGGTCTTGTAATACACATATTATGTGAGATGGATGGGACTGATATCGATACCTCCCTGGATACGTTTCGCTAGGCTGGAGGTTGAAAAAACAATCAACGTGGGAGTTTCCAACTTTGGGCAGAAAGACAAGTCTAAGTCAAGGCTGTTGATCAATGTCTTGTAAAAGTCTAGAGACCCTCCACAGGCTACAAAGGTTACTGCAGTCTGTAGTTACCTACCATCAAGCCTTGTCGACCCTTCCGCACTTACAGTGAGTGGTTTCATACAGACCAAAGGTAGTGTTCTTTAGGGTTGGGTACCCCATATAAAGGTTTCAGTTCAAGCTTCCCTAGCTAAGATTGAAGACTTCAAATACTCAGATCAACCGTGTGACTTATTCTATACTTGTGTTACCAAGATGTCTCGGTCTTGTCCGGGTTGCACCAGTTTCCCCTGGTCATAATACGGGACCGCGGCATGGATAGGTACCTGGTCACAACTTGAGGGAGAAGAAAAATGGGATATGTGGAAGTAGAATACACAGAATTATGGCCATGAACTAGACATAACACAGTCGATATTTGGATAAACCAAAGAAGGCGAGACGAAGTAATTTGGTCAGCCATTGGCGTTTGCGTATGGGGTTGTGGTGTGACATGGTTGACACCAAAGGACTATCAAGTCGAGCAGTTATATTTCCCAGTAGATGGTGAGGATACACGACGCTTAGCCACTCCTCACTACCTAGATCCAGTCTACTTCTTGATATCACCCCATATTCATAATGATGAAGCTCATGACCACACAATGACCCCTCGCCACAACTGTCTCTCCACCGTTTAACCATGAACAGCACCGTCCACGATAACCTACCTTTCCTGACCGTCTCTACCCATACCCTCAAACCTCCAAGATCCCAGTGTCCCGATCATCGGACCCCCAATTCCCAAATCTGGGGTCCAAAGCGCGGGAGCATCAAGGGACCAAAAGTGACGTCATTGTTTTGTGCGATCAAGGCGGCGCGCCGGCACCAAAACCTTTCTTGTCTATGCACCCCGCAATCTTGGACAAGCTTGACAAGGCCCCTGGATTTTCTTTCTTTTACATACAGGTTTCAACTTTGACGGGTAGAGTTCGTCATTCTCATGCCATGGGTGATGCGGTGGTTATTGTTGGTTTTTGAGATGCGTCGTAAGCCTGGCAATCGGGAATCGCTAAATATTTTGAGTGTGGCGCATGGCCGGGCTGATGAAGAATCGCGGGGTAGTATTCGGGAGATCCGTGCAGATTGAGGTTGGGATTCTGGAATTGGCTATGAGGTTTTCGATAAAATAGACTCACCGCTGGAGAGGCGATTATTGCATCGCGATGGGTTGCAGTAGGTGGGAATGATGGTGGTGGTTGTTAGAAGCTTATTTTAGGTGCGTCGATATTAGGCTTGCTGCAGGATATCTAGCTGAAGCTTTTGCTGCTGCAGACGGACGGATGGTCTGTGTTGTTCTGGGCTTGAGGAGAGCTGAATATGAGAGACATGGTCGCGGTGAGGATTGGGGAATCAATGACGAGATTGAACGTATCATCTGATCCCAACTCCATGTTCTGGAGAGCAGTCGCAAGATATTTGCATGTGATGTTCTGGCGTCTTCTGAGATGGTGGGGAAGTTGGTGAGTATGCTGGGATCAAGGTGGGGGAACAGTGAGGGCAGGACAAACGGAGGGTGGGGTGGACAAAACGGAGAGGGTATTGAACTTGAGAAGCAATCGCTTATTAGCAAGAGTTCGAAGATGGCGATTAATCTGCACAGAATCGAAACTTGATAAACTTTCTTTGGTATCGATATTCTCCGCAATGCCCCAAGATAACATGCCTGACCAAGAAGGAAGGCGCAGGGCCTCACTTACATGAGTTTAAGCTCACATAAGGTACGGATGTCCGCTTCAGGAAGGACGGCGGTTTGCTACACGCGGCATGCAGGTGGCATCGCTGTGCTACTGCATGTCAACTCTAGCCAAGGAATTTCCACTAGATTGTCGCCGTAATCGAGCCTGGTGGTCATCAAGCACATAGGCAAGAAAAGAATGGAAGCAGTCGATGTCCCGCAGGCTCAGCCCTATGGCGTTGACAGCAAATAGCCACCACTTGGCCCGAGCTTTGCGCCCCGTCACTGTGGAAGACTCAGCTGTGAAACGGAGTTGGGGGCGGTCAACGCCCAACTGTCGTGGCAGACCAAACATGGTGACCCGTGGACGACACAAGGAACAGCTCAGAGAATGGGATTCTAAAAGACAAGAAATCATGTTGTACAGCATGCGTGTCATCGAATCCCGACGAGGTCCCATCTGCTCCCAACTTCGGGTTTGGCAGCCGATACCCAAAGCGGACTTTTGGACATGGCTCAGCGTTGACCCGATCTCTGACGCTGTCATTATCGCCGGGAACATCGTGGCAATTTTCCGCCATTAAATCATAATGGAAGGCGGTCCCGTCATGCCTGGTTCATGTACTGCGTACTGTTGTCTCATCTCAAACTATTTTTTTTAACAGATGAACCTGTGGTAGTGCTAGGAATAGAAATACCTTGCACGACAGTTCAACGTTGGGATTTAGTGTCGCGTCTTGACAGCCTGCTAACTATCGGCGATAACACACCGAATATTCAACACCGCTGCCCATCGTCAGTTTTTAGTGATCGCCCCGAGAGACCCTGGATCTTCAACGTCGACAAGTGACCAAAAAACCAGATCCGGGATACCAAGCCAGGGGGATTTCAGCGCTGAGGTGCAGACTTTGCGTCATAGTTGAGCTGTCAGTGGTAGTGCAGCAACCCCAACTCCCGTTCCCGCCAGCATCCGGGCAGATCCATCACCAACACCCCAACGCGTCCCGCTCAGCACTTCCGATCGCCGGCAGCTGCCCGTTAGTTAACAGGGTGCCATCCACCGTCCGGACACCGCTCCAGCCTCGAGGTCCGGATACATAGTGCGGCAGTGAGACATTGCTTCATTGTCATTACTACTTCGTATTTCCGCGGCATCTGCAAATAAACGGTTATTAGTTTCCACGACTCACTTTGGCGGCTAGAGCGTGGTACGAGCAGGACCACCTCACCTCAGCAACACTGTCTCTGCCGCCGTCAATATTTTGGCGGGGCAGCGCCTGCAATCATAGCAGCGGGACTTAGTGTTCCGCAAAACCTGGGTTCGCCCTTGCGCAAAGAGCCGGCAGCATTGAGAGCAACAGATCCGAAAAGAAGCCAAGTCCCGCTGCTATAACTTGTTGTATGTCCTCCCGAAAAACTTGAAAAGTCTTCAGCGATTCTCTTTGCAGTGGCGGCGGCGATACTCCGGCTCTGTCTGTCCGCCTCACCAAAACGTCATCGCTCAGCTCGTCGCGTTTCCCTGCTCGCTTTGGTCCCAAGATACGACCGATACGCTTATGCGACAAATCATTGATCATTTGCACGGTAATCTGACTGCTCAAGTGTTTTGCATTTATTTATCTGGCTGCTTTGTCCGCCCGCCCTGCCCACGAGGTCCCATTGTTCCCCCCATCTGACACTTTTTTAGCGTGTCCTGTCCACCAACCCCACCATCAAATCTTCAGCACCGAGTTAAAAAACGTTCTCCGATATCGAATTGCGCCGACCGAGGCCCGTGTTCCGTCGAATAAGTCGCAGCCACAGCCACCGGACGCATTGAGAGACGCCTACCTATCTTTTCGGCCCTTTCACCTTGTTATCACCGGTCACCACCGATATCTATACATATCATATCGCGACAATTCCCCTGCTGGTGTCCACCACAAGACTCGAACATTCCCAGACGGGCAGCTCAACTCCACAACTCCGTTTTTACCCCGCGCAACAAGGCAGGGATTTTGGCTTTTGGCGAAACGTCGCCCTGCTGTACCCCGCGTTTTGCCCACCCTCTCTGCCTCTCTGGACAGCACTTATACCCCGCGACCTGACGACGCACAAACAACGCGCCTTGTCAGCCAGCCTCCCCCGAACTCCTTGAGCAATCATCTCAACCTTTTCGCCCTTTTTTTTGTGTCTCGGGCAGCCGCCCCTCAGCACCCAGTGAGTTGTTGCTCTCCTGTCGCCCCGCCCTGCAACCGTCCTCTGACCGCCTCTTCATCTTCAGGTCTGCTGGCCAAGCATTTTGATGACTTGTGTCACTGCAAAGTCAGTCAGACGGCAGCCCAACAACAAGGCACTTGTGTAGGATCGCCCTTACCGAGCCTCCCGTTTGCCTTATTAGGCAGGCCACCCCGCCTCTCCCACCACCACAAAGACGCCGACCCCTTTCACCAGAGCCTCACAAAGCATATAAAGCAACAAAGAGAGACCGAACCCCTCCTTTGTGTGCCACGTGGTTTTATATTTTGTCCTGTCTTTTCTACAGTTCCTCCCCACTTCAACACCACACGCGCAATGTCGTCTCCACAGGGCTCACCAAACGACATGAACGCCCAGTCATACATGCTCGTCCCCAACCTCCACGTGCCAGACGCAAACACCAGCGAGATGGACCTGAACAGCCACTCATGGATGATGGCCACCGTCATCGAAGATGATGACTTGATGTTTGGCGGCAAGCCTCTCAGTGCTTGGTATGAGGAGGACCGCCGCAGATTCAGCTCTGGCCAAGACGAGGAGGAAGAACCAAGGGGCCGACAGAGGGAGCGCACCGAGAGCTCAACCCACCACTCGCATCAGCACCATCCCCAACAACCACAACAACATCGCCACCACGGAAAGAACACCAAAGACCCAAAGCAACAATAAAAACCTTTCCGCTTATCGATATCGTTCCCTCAGGCAGTCTCACAATGTCTGACGCATTGCATGTCTGTCCCACCTGGCATGTCTGTCCCACCTGGCACCAGCAAAGGCAGGCCTAGCCGGTGTCGGCATCCCACCATCGCGACCAATAGGATCATCAGTGCCTTGTGCTTTGGGGTTCTCGGCCTGGACCCTTCCGTACGAGTGTGGTTGCAACCGTCCTGTACCACCACCACCACCCATCCAACACCATTTTACTCGTGATCTCCTCATGGGTCACACAGCATTCCGAGCTGGGTTATTAAGCATATAGCTGCGTTCGTTTGCCTTGGGGCTTCCGGTCATGCCTATTTCACGCCTGGCCTTTTGTCACTGCCGGTCGCACCCGACGTCGGGTCTTGATCAACACGGATCCTCGGATGCGGGTTGCATAGCATCTCTTCAAGCATCAACGGCGTCGGGAATCTTTTCAACGCATATTTCCTCCTGTCATGCATTTTAGATGTTGTTCACATTTTGCGCCGCGGCGTTTTGTCAATATCCGATTCTGAATGGCCCATGGTACCTGGCCGATCGGACGAGAGCGATTCTTTGTTCATTGTTCCTCTCTCTTTCATTCCTGTCGTTTTAATGATACCATTTTGCATAGTTTTTTTTTTGCTCTTTGTTCTTTCTTTCACATCATGTCAGGTCATATGACAACATGAGGATGGGTTGCATTTTGCGCTGCGTGTTCTCGATATCTCGATTTCTATCTTGTGATTAGATGTCTCAAGTTGCACATTATAGAGATAACAATGAGGACTTGTCGGTCGGACCGATATTTGGTGATGGCTTGGAAGGGAAAGGATGATATTATGGTATTGGTCTTGTTGTCTTTTGACGGATGGGCAGTTGGGAGGAAGGCTTTGGGATTTGGGGCTTGATAGGTGGTGTTGAGATTCAAGAATGAAGATGGATTGACAACTATTTCACCACAGTTAGCACCATGTGCTAGATTCCAGGTGATTGTTGCTATGGGACTGTCTCGGACTGCACAGCGCCACAGCACTGCCTACTGGGATATGGGCAGAATTAGTAAATATGCAAGCTCGCCTCATATTTTGATTGGACTCAGCTCGCTATGGCAAATTTTTATGAGGCAGTACGTGAGGCAGATCCCGCCAAGTCCATCACCCAGCTTTGAGAAGCAGGCTCTGTGGGCGGTCATATCATTGGTCGTCTGGGTGACCCCTCATCTGAATTTTGACACCTTTCCGCGAACTCTTCTGGCCAACACACGTCGTTGATATCGAGCAGAACAACTACTACCTATAACATCATTTAATACTGCATCACCCAATCAACCGCCGTGCACATCATGGACAGCAACTGCGAAAGGTGTCCCGATCAAGGGCTAGTGTGCTTTGGGGGGCCAGGAAGACATTGTGGTGAGGGCGATGCTCCGTGGAACAAGTCCAGCTATGCTACATCAAGAGGGGACCATTGCCTTGCCACTGTCTGAATCTCCCAGGTTGTCTGTGTCTCATTCGGAGGATCATTATGAATGGAAAGACAACATAACGGCCTTGGCGCTGACAAGCCAGGGTGAAGACACTCCGAAAGTAGCCTACAAAGTTGAGGAGGGAAGTCAGAACGATGAGTCCGATTTTGACGAGGTTGACTACCGCATCCCTATGAAAGGAAAGGAAAAGTGGAAAGCGGCCGTGACAAGCGAAAGTATGGGGGAAGATTCAGAGCGGACTGTCCCTCAGATAGAGAAACCTTTCTTGAGAAGACCGCAGAATGTAGACTCCAGGGAGGGGAAGGATAAGTCTGCGTTGTGGAAGTCAGTCACATTGCAAGATCGGGAAGAGGAGAGACGACGTATTTTTTAAAGCATTGCTCGACGGAATAGTGAGTCTTTCTGCCATCTTACCCTTGTATTCAAACGCCCCGCGCCGCCCCCCCTCCCCGGTTTCCTTGTCTACCTAGCTAAGTCTCTACATACTTATCATTTAAAAAGGATACAAGTATCGCGAACAGAAGGACCGAGAATATCGTGAGGCCTTGAACAAACAACATGTCGATGGCAGTGATCGCATTCTTAGGATGGATGAGCTGGTCGCTGAAGGGAATCAGCCATGGAGTACATTCAATATGAGGCATACGTTGAAGGCCACTACTGCCCATGACATTCCGTTACAGAGCTCTAAATCGCACCCCGTGGAGAGCCATGACGTCCCCCTCAGCGATCATGATTGGATATCTGGGAAACATCCAGACGATCCAAGGGCTGAAGATCGTTTGGGTACCAGATGCTTTGACCGGACCGTCACACGCACAGGGCTGCCAAAGTGGATTACATACCATAGTAGCGATCTCGCACCATCGGAAAATTTGTTTTGGAAGATAACAACAAATCAGATGGGCCCAAAATTCAGAGGTTCGGATCCGTTAAAGCTACTACCCTTCTGAGAAACTCTGGTCCGTCAGGACTTATGGACACCAGCCCGACTCAGCATCTGAAGCCAAAGCCTTAGTAGCATCTGAAAAAATTCAAGCGCCGGAAGATGTGGATGTGAAGCTTGCACCCTTGAAGGACGACACTGCCATGGGTTCCGTACCTGATTTAGGATATGGATTGCCCAGGGAATTGTCTATTAGGCCCCAAAACGAGTCAAAGACGGACGATGGCAATATACAGGAAGATCAGTCTGATAATCAGACAGTTTATTCGGACGATGGCAGCATTGATGGTGACATCCTCAATGTCTGCAAGACTGAGCTGGCCGATTCCCTTGCCAATCATATCCGCCAGCTGGAGGTAGGACCGGAAGGCTATGCCAACATCACCAGGAAGCTACCCCCGTTGCTCAAAGCCTTCGCCTTGAGAGTAGGAATCCAGGCTCATCGCGGATGCCGAGGGATGCTATGTTCTTTGTGCACAAGTATCGCGAGTAAGTTAACGTCCAATTGAGGTGCAATTTGGAGCATATGAGCAGATCGCTAATCCTCAGCAGCGATATATCTGAGCTGTGCCGATGTTCGTTGACAACATCTACTGACGATAGACTGTCAGCGAAGCCGGCATCAGAATATAATGGGACTAGCACTGAAGCCCTGGGATCACGGATCATAAACTGGATTCAACATGATGAAGACAGTGACAGCACTGGACTCGAGCAGCAACCTTCCAAAGAGACACCAGATGAACTACCAGTTGAAGTTGAAGCCGACGGAATTAACTTCCTGCCGGACGACCACCAATATCAAGAAGCGTTATTTGAGTCTCCATCTTATCAATGGCTTCTATCCAGCCTTGTTCGAGACAACACTGTGTCCTGCCACGCCATGAACGCTATCAGATCCAACATCCTGGCACAGCGTCCCCGTACGCGACAAGTGAGTCGTCGTATTCCCTCTGAGGTCCATTCTGTATGTTTTAAGACCGGGCTGGATTCGGTTGGGTTTGTAAGTGTAGGGCGGTGGCCAAGTGTAGTCACTGCCCACAAAAGAGAGGCTAAAAGGCAGAGAAATTGGTTGACAAATTGATATTACAGTTGGTTGTTGTTAGTTGGTCCGAGTAAAAGTAAACAGTAAGCCAAATCCAGCCTTAAGAGCAAAAAGGTGTGGGTCTGGTGAAAAGCAGGCCCTTTGTAGGTGCCCCACAATAAGACATCAGCATGCAGACCAGACACACAAGTCATTAGGCTGGCACATGCCCGACGTGATTACTCTGACGGGGTCCGAACAAAATGCGCAAGGACTCACTTGTGCTGAATATATATGTCAGACATAGCCTGTCACCGGTGCATATGTTTTGCGTATTTTGGATGTATTCGGTGATGGAATGGACTGTAGTGATTCAGATAGGAAATTAGGTAAGACACCCTCTAAGCTATCGCACAGGTACCTACATGTATATATGCGAGACACTAATACTGTTAGTAACATTGCCCGACCGGTCCTTTATAACGGCTTTGGTGACGTCGTCCGACGGGCTGGTTAAGGCTGTAGGCACAGCTGCCTTTCTCTGCGAGGTTGGAGTAATCTTTGGTTTGGCTATGTGCTGCTTTTCGGACATGTCCAACAGAAGGCCAAATCGCTTCGGGCACGTCACAAATCAACAAGGTTATCGAATTGCATTCGAAAGTACTTTGTTTCGAAACGAGCGGCGTGATTGGAATGGCGTGGCGGAAAGAAGATTCAAAGCCAGGGACAGTGCTGGCACAGCTTGTTTGGCAGACCCTATTGTCGTCGAAGGGTATCCAATGTCACAACGCCCAAAAGGCAATACCGGAATCGAAATACCACTTCATATGGCGGCCGCATTTATAGCAGCTCTAAGGCTGCACCGTTTTCTGGGACACTACTATCTCAAAGGCTTCTCCGCAATACTCATTGCTGTGGAGGTTGTGGGAAATGTTGTCCTGTGGCATCATTGGTACAACCCTACCGGGGAGAGAATCTCGTATCTAGACGCTGCTACGGCGGAAGGCAAGATTGAGATAAGCTTGGAAGACTTGCGTTCTCGAAGACACGTCGGCTGGTGTTCTGAGGCACTGTGTATGGCTGGTAAGTACATAAGGTTGTCAGGAACAGGGCCCCTGTTAACTTGTTTCTTCTCCAGGAGACAAAAGTGCTAAGTATCAGATTGGAAGCTCCAGGCTACCTTGTCCGAGCCGCGAGTTCTCTCTCGAGAAGGTGTCATTTTCAGTGGGACAGACTGTGACTGGTGGATGTCAATTTAGCATTGGCAAGAAATATGTCCCTCTCCACATAACTAAACAGGGTTATATTGCCAAGCTAAGGCGGATAGATCAGAAATATGTTGTCATGTGGGATGAAGAGGACAAACGGGGCTGGCTTGTTAAAGGAACCAGGGCCTTGCTGCACTTAGTCAGAGCGTCACTAGAGCATTGTCGTGATGATAAGTTCAGCTCTGAGTTCCTCTACGACTTCAACGCCTTTGAAGAACCGAATACACGATTTTAAAGGGACTCATCTGTCCAAGCTCTTCTCAATTCGACTAACAGAAAGCTTCATATCTGCTGTGAGGAAAGAATACATGAGAAGACGCCTACAAGGCCCCCCTTTTCACTAGACCCACACCTGGTGTTTGCTCTTGGGGCGTATTTCTGTTGGTTTTCCACACTCTGTAATTTTAACCTTGAAATGTGACAAGGGCTGTAATATCAGGGCTTGGAACTCATGGTTCAATTCAGGCTAATAATCTTCAATGGCCTCGAAGAGCGTGATGACCAAGAAGAAGGTCTAGGAATACAAACAGATCTCAAAGACGCGTATTTATCCATCGTCAGGTGGTCCGTGCCCAGTGGCCTCAGGCCGCTGCCAAGTCCTTCAATATCTCGGGTTGACCAATATCATTTCCTTAATAACCGCGAAGCCTGTGATTGTCTGCCTCACTTTGACCACTGGCTCACAGCGTGCAGTTACCCCTCCTTGCGGTGGTATCGACAGTGTTGTTGGCCGTGTTCACGGTGGTTGGTTCGTTGACGTGTGACATGAAAACTCAATAATACTGTTTGTTGATCAATTTCCACCTGCTTCCTGGGCCTCATTTCGCGGTCAGCGACCTTCCTAAGCCGCTGTCCTACATTTTCTGGGAGCCTCTTTGGCAGACCTGGAGGAGATTATTGTCAACAGACCGGAGGCAAAGGTCGAGATTCTGGACAGGCTCTTCAAGTCTGAGAACGTCGATCCACAAACATTCCCACGTGGCGGAATCATATTCAGCCTCCCAGCGAAACTAAGGCGGGGCCACGGAGAGGATCTAACAAGCCCCCCCGGTCAGGCCATAGCCTCGACATGCTCGACAAGGACCGATGATCAAGGTCCCACTCCCTGTCCAACAATTGCCAACAGTTCAAGTGCCACCGGCCCCTCAGACAACACTGTGGATACCGACGCATCAAGCCAGAACACGTCGGCAACACCGCCGGGAATATCTCGCACAGTACCCTATTCAACCAATGCTCAGGTATCAACCCCAACAACCGAAAACACCTCCATCTCTGAGGACAACGGAGCAGGCCTTAGTTTTGGGGTTGGACTCTTCACAAAACCGACGAAACGACCGGTAGATGGCAATGATTCGCAGTACGAAGACGGCGCTACGAAAGGCAGCAAGAGGATGAAGCTTTTGAATCTGGTCTCGAGAGGTTCTTACAGTTCTGATACATCATGGGCACAGGTTCTGGGAACTCAATGGTAGTGGTCCCCCGAATGTCAGGTTCTTTAATCTAGGTACCTACCCTTTCTCTGATGAGTAAGAGCAGCGCGGAAATAAACCCAAAGGCAAGCCTGTCGATAATCTATTGACCATCTTTTCCAGGGCGCGCCTCCTTTATGACTGAAGCGACTTGGGTTTAGTCATAAACCCAAGCGCCGGAAGCCTGCCTGCATAACGACGAAATTGTACGCTGTAGAACCCCGTAATAGGCATTCCCCTCTTTCACTTGAAATTCTGCCGGTGGTGCCAAGAACCAACCACCCCGGCCTACCTCCGCGCTGTTAACCTCAAAGTCACAACTGTTCCCCTTGTTCGTCGTAATCTGGTGTAGGTGTATCCGGTTGGCAATTCACGGCCAAGATAGCGATCAATAATCTCCCCACTGCACAACACAAAACCCATACCTTGAAAGAAACCAGAACCCCATCGGTGTGCTCAAGGCCTTGACCATCTCTGCAGAATCTATGAAGAATTCCAGTACTAAAAATTCTCTCGCCCCCAGTTCCATCAATGTCGAGACGGGTAGTTTTCTGGCGTTGCAGTTCGGTTTCTGCCCACCGACCAAAGGTCTTGCATTGATCGGGGATATCCGCTGTCTAGTACTTAAAACCAAACGGCGATAGTCATGCAAAGAGATGCTGGTGAGATGCTGGAGATACCTGCCCCCTGGCCCTCCAAAAAGGCGTCCAAAAGATAGGCTTGAACCCCAGCAGGTATAACTTCAGTGGGTGGAATTTGTCACCGTTGAGTTGGATGTCGTCGGGTGGAACGTCGGGATACCACAGCCCGGCTTTCTTGAGTTGTCGGGCCGCCGTGCTTTCAGAGATGTCACTTGTATTCATGCCGACAGCACTCTCGTCACTGTTGTCACCACACTTTTTGGTCCTGCCAATGCTGATCAGACGGAAGCCCTATGTGATATACAATTAGCGATGTATCTCCCTGAATGGATACTGTAGGAGTTGACTTACATCAAAGCCGAATCTGACCCCCTTCATTGGATATGATGACGTCAAGCGCTTTGTTATGAGGCCGTTGTCGGGACAGCCCAGCCAGCCACCAATCGATGACGAGGGTGCCGGTACATTGTATGGCGTGAATGCCGCCTCTCCCGACTGCAATTCTGAAGCCCGTCAAGTCGTTGAACCCAAAGTATGTGTGTTGCTGTTTCTCGGCGGGACCCATATAGCCTATGGTGATGGTGTGGCCTGGACTGGTGAGGGCAATGCCGGAGATATAGCTGAAGTCTCCAACCTCGACAGTCGACACAGAGACCCGCAATATGTAGTCAGAAACGACGATCCTATGATTCAATAGCTCTCGACAGGCAGTTGGCAGTGGATAAAGTAGAAAGTCGAGAGTTTGCATACTTCCCGCTACCATCGACCAGCGTCCATCATCTGGTGCAGGAGTGGCATTCCATGGCGGCACTGAACTGCCCACAGCCACCTGACTGTTGGCTTTGATAAGGTCAGCAACCTTCTGAACAGCTTGCAAGATGTGATTCCTGCTATGAAGCGCATTCTTAGTGTCCTGATCGTTCCGTCGAAAGTCCGTGTTGATTGGGTGATAATGGAATGGAGGCGGACCACCTTCCTGCGACTCAATATTAATCTCCCAAGGAAAGTACTCTGCTGAATTTACCCCATAGCCGTAGCCCCAGTCCAATTTCTTTACCCGAATCACCAGGGTGAGTGAATCGAAAATCTGGAAAGTTGTACCGAGAGGGATAGGCTTGGGCCAGAAGGCTTCCTCCAGCAGCGTCCAGCAGACATTGTGGAAAGCAAATCCACGTCTGTTCTCAAAAGGCTGATGACGATCGAAGGAAAACATGTCGTCATCGGACTTATCGTAGCCTCCATCGTCGTATCTCGCGCCTGGGTTCTGAGGAGCAATGAAGGATCCGAAGTGGGCCTCATCACCATTTTAGACGCCAATTCCAGTCAACGTGGTCTGTCCATTGGCGACATCCATCCACACTAGCAAGTAGCAGCATGTTAGCATGGCCAGGTACATTGAAATGTGTCACATACATCCGCGAACTTGGTTGAACCAAAATGCAACTTCCTCGGTTAGACCGTCAATGTCCCATCCACAGATGGGGCAAGCCCAAATGATTGGGATCATGATGTTGAGTTGAGCCCGTTTGTGCGGTGGGGATGCGGAGGAGGAAGATGAAAAGGTGAAAAAAAGAAAAGGTTAATATGCTGGGCAGTGCTTTTGTCAGCAATCAGCAGTCCATCACAAGTCCAGAGCCCGAATCGCGTTTTAGCTTTTCCCCAACCCAACGCCTATCGGGTTGGTACGGTACCCAAAACAGACTTCCTCCTCTTTCCCACCACAGGCTTTGGCCAAACGCAACCCATCAACGTGGCATCTTCGACATGGGCACCTTCCGCGATCGATTGCGGTGCCTGCGCATGCGCTCTAGGCAAGACGAGATCTGTGAGCTTATGAAAAATAATTCCGATCCCGAGGCTCGCTACAAGAGAGACTTAAGACTGCTGGCCAAGCTGAATGCAAGACGCGATGCCACAAACCCCGACCCCGACCACCCCGTCAAGATCGAGGACAAGCAAGTCGACCCCAAGACGCAAGGCACCACCGACGAGAAGCCGCCCGCATCCAAACCGGATACCCCCCTCCCCAAGCCCGCCCCGGAGCAGGAGATCAAGCCCCCCTCACCCACCGAACAACCAAACGCCTACACCCTGACCACAACCGAAGCTCAAACCATCATCGACTGGCATCGCGAGTCCCAGGCCCTCTACGACACCCTCAAGCGAGAGAAAGACAACCTCCAGGCGCAACACAAAAAGCTACAAGAGGCCCACGACAATTTGGCGAGAGAGGTCAGCTCGCTAAACATGGATTTGACCAGGGCAAAGTTCATGTGTGGTTGGTATGAGCGCTTGAAGTTTACGCTTGAGGGAAAAGTCGCAGATTCACAAAACGAGATTGACAAGATCTGGGCTGAGCTCGAGAAGGCAGTCGAGAGGAATACCACGTATCAAGAAGAGGTAGCCAAGCTGAAGGCGGAGGTGGATAAGCATCGGTTGTCCGGCGGGGATGGATTTGGAGACGTATTTGACAAAGAGAGGGAGGCATTGTACAGGATTGAGTAAAGGAGCTTGGAGGTGGGTTCTCCAGGGGTTCTGGCAGGGCGGTGGGGTGATGAAGGGCGGAGAGGACGAAGGTCATGCCACCACACTGGGGAAGTTCAACAGCAAGGTGTCGATTGTTTGTTGGGTGATGGGTGATGCGGAGCGAAAAGGGTTATGACTGTAGGGTCTGTGGTGGGTGGAGATGGGGAGTTTGAGAATATTCACCTGGCTCAATCCATCTCACCAAAAACAGGAGCAATGGTTTTGTTGGACAAAGGGGCAGCATAGACAAAAGAGATTGCGAGCAGTCACCATCCTGGATTCACTCAAGCAATGCCCACTTATATAGCCGCGGTTGATCCGCAGATATACCATTGCAGCACTCGTGACTTGATGAGGCTCCAGGTTTTGAGATTCAATGCGATCGTGATTGGGACAGTGACTCAGTGAAGTGAATGGGGACATGAGACGAGGCTCACTAAATACGGGGCTCCTGGAGGGTTGCTCCTTGAGATGGCCCTGGTCTCGATATAAATATTCGACCGCTTCCACCAAGCACTATTCCTTTCCCTCTCCTCACCTCCACAGCATCAAGGCACCCTTTGAGCTTGCAGACCATCACCCACCACAACCAAACTCTTTCCCAACTCCATCATCATGCTCACTAAGACATTCTTCGCCGTCGGCGCTCTCCTCACCCAGCTCGTCCACGGAGCTGCCGAGCCCCCGTTTCCAGCTACTCCGTCGTCGAAGTCGAGTGGTCTCTCCCAGTCGACCCCGACAAACCCAACGGCGCCCGCGAGTTTGTCACCGGTACCATCGAGGAGGCCATCGCCCAGATGGACGCCGCTCACCCCGGCTGGAGCCAGACCTTCACCAGCAACATCCAGACCGTGGATCCTCACGCTTTGATGGCCCGTGGCAGCAGCCCCGAGAGCCAGTCTGTCAACTGCCACTTGGACAGTGGAAAGGGAGCTGCCAACTGTGTCGACATCCGTGATGGCGCCCGTTACCTTGGATCCATCGACAGCCCTGCCCCCAATAACTCCCCTCACAGCTGCGGCTGTGTTAGCTGCGCTTACAACTCCGCTATTTGGTGGTGCAATGACGTATGTTTCTATTTTCCTTTTCTATCCCAATCTTCCATGCAGATATGCGCTGACTAGTTGTTGTAGAATGACTCCGTCAAGGAAATCACCTGGAAGAACATTGCGAGCAGCGCCTGGTTTCTCCAGGACAACTGCTGGTACTACGAGGGAAGAACCGAGAAGGTTTCCGCCCAGGAGTTCACGAAGGACAAGTGGAATGTCTATGTGACTGGGGACAGGTGCTAAGTTGATCAGCATTGCGGCAACATGAGGGCTTGTTGATGGAGGCGGAGCAACAGGCGGATGAGCGGCCTGGACTTTGGAGAATAGCGGCCTGGAGTGACTTAGTCAGCAAACAATACATCAGCTAGGCTTGTTCCGTACGCTATCTCCCTTTCTGCTTGTGTAGACACTGTGTTGAAATGATGTGATTACGGCATAACTGATGTCTCCCGCCCGTGCTTGATGGTATGGGATGATATCCAGGTTAGGGTTATTTGAGGTAGAGGACGGTTGACGTGCGAGGCTTGCACTTGACATAGTCAATTCGGCCAATTCTGGTTGAAATTACGCATGTTGGCAGGGGGAGTCCGGAGGGTTTGTGAGGTATAAGAGGACGTCGTGGGCAGTGTACTCTACCTTCCTCTTTCTTTTCTTCTTTATCCGACAATTCAATCCTTTACCTGTGACCTACGCCTGTACCCAGCCGTAGGCCCTTAACATTTGACAACCGAAATAAATCGGCGAGCTTCTCTGTGCCTGAGTCGAAACGCCTTGAGATGAACTGGAAGCTGGGTCATGTGAGACATGAATTGGAAGGCTCAGTCGGCAGTTACTCTCCCTGCTGTTTACACTTGTTTGTGCCTCAGGAAGGAGTCACCACACCAGAAATGTCAGCACGTTTGGGCTTGCCAAATACATCAACTTGACACTTCACACGTCATCTTCCTGCCACGTGGGCTGCCAGATTCGCTCAGGCAAGATTGAGCACCGACTCCAGCTTAGGTTGGCTTTCTTCGATCATGAATCATCGATCTTCAACTGGTCATTATTCTCCCCCAGGCCACGCAACAGAGATACCACCGCTATTTTCATTCTTTCCAGATCAACGGTTTACTTTCCATCATCTTAGCCCAAAGCAAAGTTACGCAACATGAACATGCCGCCACACCGCCGCTACGGAGCCTCCTCGTCAATTTCCATCCTCGAGACCATCCTCGAGACCGATGCACAACAAGAGGAACAAGATAGGGAATCGTTAGACTGTCCCACTTTGAAAAACTCCCACTCCTCTAACTCCTCCCTCGTGTCCACCAGAGCCGCCTCCCCGTATAACCTCGTCAGCCGCCCCCGCCCCCGCCGCAGCGCCATCTCCGCTCTCCGACCAGGTGAACCAACCTACACCTCAATCGTGAGCAACTCCAAGAAGGATGAGTCCAGACACGGACTTGGGTACGACCGTGAACGAAGCCGCTTTGCCCCATCCCCTTTGACCTTCCCACCAACTCCGAAAAAAGAACCAACATCCAAGATTTTTCCCCTTAACAAACATGTGCCTTGGGCACCCCCAACCAGATTCTGGCTACCAGGACAGAAGATGAGATGGCACAAACCCCCGCTCGGGAAGCTGATGACACCGGGGCAGTACCGCGCTTGGGAGAGGACAAAGACTGGGCCGAGGTGTCAGACTTACATGATGTATCTTATGGCATTTAAGCGGAACGTGAAGGGGCTTGTGCCTGCTCCGTATCGGAGATTGGAGGATGGGAGTGAGGTGCCTGTTGAGTATTGGGGGATGGTTGTGGATCATGGTCATATTGAGGAGGATGGTGGTGTTGAGATTATAACAGGGAGCAAGGCGGATCATGAGGCTGCGGATGCCAGGGCGGTGCAGGGTTCGAGTAAGGTGGCGTCGCCGACGCAAAACGGCCACGCTGAAACTCCTGGGAGTGAGAGGATGATACCTATCAGGGTTGGGTCGTATTCTTTGACCAAGGATGTGAACAGCAAGAAAAGGGACCACAGTGATAGCTCGGGTGATGAGAGAGCGAACAGATCGAAGAGGAGGTTGGTGGGAGGGGGATGAGGAGGGGGATGGTGGGGAGAGTGAGAATGGTGTAGAGAAGGAGAATGATGCGAAGAAGCATGACTCTGGTGATGAGATGGGGGGGTTGGAGCAGACTGAATGAGGTGTATGGGCTGAACGAAACTTGGACATGTGGGGATTGTGTTTGTGGGTTATTATACAGCATTGTAGCGAAGCATGATAGTAAGCGATGAACTTGATTAGTGGGGTGTCGTTATTGGAGATATCTGGCTTAGTTGTCTCTTGGGCTTGTCCACTTACGTCTGTTACATTTAGAATCCTTCTCTTCTTCATGCCCATTGCTCGCCCACAAGTGCAAAGATAGTTTGATATGCTTTAAACTCATGTCAATGTGCCTTTGAAGATAACTAGCATGCTTTCAAAGAAAGTGAGAAGGCCTTAAAATGTCTCCATGGGCCTACTTTTTTTCAAAATATTTTCAATGACCCCCGAAAGATAGTTAATGCGATTTTGATCTACCCATTCTATCAGGAGACGTGCTGAAGCATGCAGTGGGGATTCCGGTGGAGAGAAGAGGCCGTGGGTAGTAGTAGAGCTTTATCATGACCATGAAGACATCAAAGACGCCGACTGTGCCTTGAAGTTGACGGGCCGTCAACTTCAAAGGTATTGCGGATGTTGAGCCACACTGTCCAACCTGACTGGATTTGGGTTGTCTTTCACCGTGACATGGGTATCAGGGGCATTAAAGTGTCTACAGGTCATTAGACCACTTGCGAGCTCATTCCTTCTCTGTCAAGTAGGTAGGTACCCTTGGAACTATCCATCCTGATACTATATGCCCGTAATAAGGTATCCTCAACACCCGGTGTACAATACAAGGGAGCTCCTCAAACAGCCATTAGTGATGCCGTCAATTTTCCCCTTTCTCTCCAGTCAAATACTGCTTCATCAGCTCAACCAGCTCTTCGCCGGTGGGATCTTGGGACAGAAACACCACATTCACGGCCGCAAAGCTAGATGTCAGACCCCAGAAAGCATCACTATGAGTAATCCTTGACTAATCAATTTCACAGAAGGGGAGGAAACATACGCAGCAGTGGCAGCAAACACCTCCACCCTTTTGGCCTTCGTCATGATTGCTAGCGCCAACGCAAAGATCGCCGAGAATATCACCAAGGCCATGAACTTGAACTTGTTATTGTCGCCCAGGAAGTAGAGCACCACAATGCTCAGCACTGGAAGCAGGGCTGCGACGACGGTGACGAATGTCTCGATGACGATTTGAAGATGAGACTCGCTGTAGATGTAGATACCAGTACCGAGGTTTTTGGCCGCATCCTCCGGGTCCTACACCTTTATCAGCCACAACCTACATCTGGGCAGGGAACAGTGATGAACTGCTGTGCTAACCTTGATCTTGGCCCCGAAGAATTTGTGATACCAGGGGAAAATGATGTCGTTCACCCAGCGGGAGAGGCGATCCAACGGCACCCGTGGGCTGATAGCCATGAGATCAGTTTCGAATTCTGGATCCCATGCATGCTGATCTGGGCCATGAATAGGATAATTCCCGTTGTCGGCACGACCAATCCATTCTCGGAGAAAGGTGAGATCCTGGAAGTTGGGAGGATTGAGTTTGGCGAGTGAGGCTTGGGTGAGGAGTGCCTTATCTATTGAAGCGAGGGAAGTTAGAGATGCGGAAAAGACAGAATAGGTAAAAGAGAAACGATAATGCGTACTGTATTTTGCCAGCTTCAGTTGAATCAGCTGCATGGTTGCCCATTGTTGGCCTGCTTCCGGATCCCCTGGATGTGCAAGGGTAATCCAGTCCCTGTCAAAGAACTGTCGCATTCGACAGGAATGTGTTCGGTCCATTGCCGCCAGCTTCTCTAGGTGATCCTGGAGGAAAATGATCTCGGCCTGTTGATACAGTAGGCTTAGACAATTCAGGTACTTGAAACGACGGAAAATGGCATACTCGTCTTGTCTAGCGAGCAGGGCTGCCAATCTGCCATATCCTTTACTGCCTGTATCGGCGGTACCGTTGGTATTCTTATTTTCGGCTGCATCACTTGCCGAAGCATTGGCATCTGGTGTCGCGAAGTTCTCGGCTGAGCCACTATGGCGCGGACTCGTATTACCTGTTATGGTATGGGGAGTTGCTTGGGATTGAGCTGCGGTCATCTCTAAAGTTGGGACAGTACCTTGCACGTGGACTGGCTGTTTCATTGTATTGGGAAAATCTCTTCGCGTTTGGAACAGACCTCGTTCTGTCTATTTAACCACAACCCGTGCGGGGAAGTTAGTGGACTCGAGACCGTACGTAAGACCAGGACATGCTGTATTACTGTTGCACACCTCACTGATGTTTAGGTCGGCATGGCTTTTGTTGGTCTTGCCTTAATGGTGGGCAGCTTTGGATGAGGCTCTGGAACTGGGAACTTGTGATTTCACGGATAGCAACATAAGTTTGTGTCGCACGAGGGTCGCCAGGGATTAGCTATTGGGTAGAATGGTGTTACAGAGCGGCAATAAATCGATGCGGTGTGATATCTTTCATGAGGGCTTATTGAATGACCAAAGTCAGCTTCGGTGTTTACATCTGAATAGGGGTTCAGGGGCATGATGAGCTCCCGTCTTCCGAACCGGTGGCTCGTGCACGCCAATCTTCGACCATAAACCCAACAATTCCAATACTGTACGATTCATCCCTGATCCTGTGGCTAATGATTGTTGACCGACAATGGGATAGAAGTTCAAGTATATGAACTAGGGATTCGGAAAGCATTCGGACCGTCCTTCGGGCTAAATAAACCCAAAACATCATGTTCGATGTCGTGACATTTTGCCGAAAACTAGAAGTGATTCTGATTTGGCAGGCACCTCTTGGGTCGAGTAACTGGTACCTACTGCATCTCAATAAAAACTGTAATAACGATTGGCTTATTAATAGTAAAGAGTCATATTAACCTATTCATTATATTTCGATCCCTCTTCAGTATAGCTTTTAATTGTGGTTTAGGATACTGTCTTGAGTTGATAGTTGCTTTGCAATGACAGTCATGTTGACCACGACACGGTAGGCAGGAACATACAGCTGTCTTCAAAACACAGTTGGGACGCAAGTGCCATGATCAACCGGAGGGTGCCTCATGCCAAAGCAGTAAGAGTCGACCATAAGTCGACAATGGCCACGAAGTTTCGATGCAAGCTCTTGCCTAGTCATTAAGCAAATGGTTGTCATATGGAAAATACATCAAACATCATTGCGTCTTAGGAGTCATCATGCGTTCATAATGATTGTATGTATGGTCGCTGGTCTCAAACATGTTTTGTTTGAACATTCCAATCGGTAATGAATACACCGCTGATGAGTAAAAAGGGGGGTTCCCCCCACTATGCCTCTTCTCAGCCAAAATGAATGGGAACCGTACTTTGGGAAAACTCTGCAACATCACTGTCTGTTATCAAGAGACAATACCCAGAGAAATGGCACTTTCTAGACGTCCTTACTTGCACGCTGACCACGTCAGGCAGTTGGGGCTTGATCGCCTGAACTGGTTGCATGTTGGAGCTGCACTACGAGGAGGCTATGTAAGTATTGAGGATGAGGATCGTGCAACTGAACTGAGAGAAGCCGACGAGAAGGCAAGGATGGAGGAGTGGAAGAAGGTATGTGCATTTTTTTCAAATCATTTAGTTTAATATGCACGCTGCATACCTTTGTGGCGCCGTTTGTTGATGGGAATTACCATTTGCCATCCAGGGTCCATTTGTCAAACGGATGTGGGTACAGGACGAACAGCGTGAGAGCTTCCGCTTGATAACTGTAGGGCTCGACAGCATGGCTAGGTCTGCGAGTGGCGAACCTGTCAGTTTTGTACCAGCCAGTACCATCTCTGAATATAACCTGGGTCCCATCATCAAGATTCCAGAGACTGTCTTCAACACAGCTAGCGCCATCATGTCTTGTACCGAGGCGGTCGACATCACGTGGATGGGAAGTGACAAAGTTGAGCGTCAGGATCGCTGGGTGGTCCTTCCTGTTGGATCCGGAATACGGATGCCGCTTCTTGGCGAAAGGTTCATGACCTGCTTTGGTCAACTTCTGCTTAGCGTGGAGCCAACTGGAACCATCGCTGTCGCTAGTGATGAGGAAGACCGGCCGCAGAAAAAGGGAGGGAAGCCTATGATGGGGGTAAGTAATGGGCCACACGATGGCGTTCGTGCCACTGCTGTCGTTAACTCCTGAATGTCATTACCAGGGTAAAGGAGCATCATCCAAAAAGACAATGCAGAGGGACAACATCATGGCCCATAATCCCGATTCGGCACCGGCGAGTCAAAATGTGGCGGGACGGCAAGCTGCACAGATCGCTAGAGAGCAAAGAGTGTATGAGGATTTTGTCAGTAGTAGCCAACACACGAACCAGCCAACGGCAAACCGTGATCATCAGACGCTAGCCTACTATGACAACTTCCGCAGCTACAGAGACGCGAGGTCTATTGATATGCATGTCACTGAACGGGAGCATTGGGCAGCGTACTGGCAGCTTCATACACCACGCTTCGATCATCGGTTGCTTATGCCAACAGAACGAGAACTGCGGGATCAAGCTGGGCTCCCTAAACCATATTCAAAAGGACCACCAAGGAAGTAATCTAGGTAGACACTTTTTTACATTGGTCTGTAGGGCTTTTGTACCGAGTCTTGAGCCAAAACACTCGTCACGATTACTATCTACCTATGGAAAATACATACTCTGGTACTGAGTAGGTACTAACCCAAAATTAGTGCCCAAGTACCTTATCTTCCATGAAGACAGTGACCACCTATGTGAGGCATTGCTCTATCCCACTACCATACACAAGGTTCTCGAGTATCTTAGACATAGCGGGAATACATTTGGTAATTGTGAGAGATAACAGCCAAGGGTTGACTGCAGGGTGTGTGCTGTGTGAAGTGTGCTCGAGACTGAAGCTGGCTAAAAGGCTACGTACACTGGGGCACTATCTTAGGTGAAACACATCAACTTGACAGTCATAACTCGTGTACCCTGATGCGTAATTCTCCAAAGTCCAAGCTATTTTTGACCTAAACTCTAGAACACATCCAACTTAATTCCAGAACTGGAAACTGCAGCTGTTTACTCTGGAGGGAGCAAAGTAACAGTAGCACAAGGAGGAGCGAGGGCTTGACAATAGATAAAGGTAGATAACAATAGAAAGCGCAGATAGCAACTTTGCACACGAAGGCACATATATATCTGACGAGGACCCTCGAAAGCACAAAAGCCATTCAGCAATGATCGCTTTTTTGATTTCGATATTCGGACGGTAAATCTCACGTACAAGATGTCGTTTGATCGCTGTGAGCAGTGTTGAAGAAGGAATTTGGAGTAACACAATTTTCAGCGTCTAATATTTAATTCACTTGGAAACACTGGTTGTGGTGCTGGGGAAGTGAATTGCTGCTAACGCTCGCCATGTATTCACTCCATCGGTTATCGCCGTATATATTGATTTTCTAAATCTCTGTTTTCCTGTTTTCCCGCAACATGTTTATAGGGCACTGCTCACCCTTCCTTACCGCCATTGAGTTGTTGACAAGAATTTCCAGATTCTCGCATTTCGAAGTGGGGTCAGCCTCCTAACCAGAGTTCAACACCAAGTCCTCTTGGTGTAGACAATCAAGCACCTACCCAGTCAAACGTTGTCCCCATTCTTCGCCAAAAGAAATGGTAAGCAACATCACCGCCCCACGGAAGACTGAGCCTTCTAACCTTAGTACAAGTGTTTAAGCTCGACCACGCTTTCATTACCTTGTGCTAGGACTCGTTGTCACCGGCGGAGTCCTGTACATATGCTACTCATTGGTCCGAAAAGATGGCCAGGGTCTGGGGCTTACCTAAGACATAGGCTTCGCAAATCAAGTGCGAGACCAAGTACAGCTGAACTGCCGTTGCATATAATGCGATCTCAACCGCGTTTAATCGAAGAAATACTGAACCTGCCTCCCCCCCCACCGGTCTGGCAACAAAGGAGCACAGAAAGAAGAGTTAATTACGACTCGACTGTCACGCGGATATGACGTGTCGGGAAGTTCACTGCTCTGCCAAAACCAGTAGCCCGAAACAGCAACCACCACCGAGAAGGCGGCAACACGGGATTCAGGAGGGTAGATGTGACACAAAGTTTATCGAGAGTGATATCTACAGGAAAGGGGTAAAGATGATGTGGAAAGCTGTGGAACCTGGCGAGCTCACATCTATGTTGACGGGGTAATGCTTTACGTTGGGCAGGTAAACATCAAGTCAATGGTGTATTTATGACGAAAGAGAGAGGCAATTGTTCATGAATGCCGAGAGCGATCTGTGTGGCTATTGCTCGACATTTCACACCTACTGATATGACCAATACTATCAGCCCTGAACTTACCCCTGAAGGATATCATCCGCAATCTTCTCCGCCAGCATATCTACCACACGTTAGCCAACCGACTCCCAAGGCGAACATCCAACGGGCGATAACTCACAAACAGTACTCTGCGGATGCCCCGGCGGCAATATCGGAAAAGAACTCGCATCCACAACCCTCAACCCACTCACCCCCCTAACCCTCGCCTTGGAATCCAACACCGCCATCGGATCCCCCTCCCTCCCCATCTTACACGTACAAGCCGGATGCCACAGCGTCATCAAGCTATTCCTAATCGCTTCCAAAATCTCCCCATCACTCTGCACCCCCGGCCCAGGGTAGGCCTCCTCCCCGGCTACAATCGGCGCCAGCCCACTAGAGGTAAACGCCTGTCTCGCCCTCTTATACGCCGCAACTGCCAACTCTTGATCCGCCCGATCCGTCAACCAAGCAGGGTTGATAACAGGTAAATCAGCCGTACTAGCAGAAGTAATCGTCACATTCCCTCTTGACAGGGGAGTGTTTAGGACGTTGAGAATAGTAGCATATTGCCTCCCGTCTGAGGGCTGGACAAGCAAAAAGTTGCTAAAGTCACCTACGAAGCCAGCGCCGGAGATGTATTCTACCTCTGGCCAGTCAGGTGGGAACTGGGCGAGCTTTGCTTGGGTGGATGGTGAGAATTGGGTTTGGCGTAGGGGAGGGGGGATCTTCTCCCAGGCTAAAAAGTCCGCGACGGGGTTGGTCAGTGTGCCGGATTGGTTCGTTGTGTACTGAACCAATTGCTCGGCGAGGTAGATTGGGTCTCGGGCTTCTTTGGTGAGGGTGATGAGGTCGACGGGGTAGGAGGGGCCGAAGGTGGGGTGGTCCCACATGTTTTGGCCTACGCCTGGGAGGTTGGATAGGATGGGGATGTTGTGGGCTTGGAGTTGATCAGCGGAACCGATACCCGACACCATGAGGAGTTGAGGCGAGTGGAAGGCGCCGGCGGAGATGATGACTTCTTTGCTTGCGGATAGGGTGTACGAAACCAGCCCTGTTTTTACACGGACACCGGTGGCCTTTTTGTTGCTGTTGAAGAGGATCTTTTCCGCGCGGGTGGCGGTGTAGACTTTGAGGTTGAACAGGTTGTTAACGAGAGCCGTCTTGAGGAAGGAAGACGCAGAGCTGGAACGGGTCTGGTCTACCGGCCGGATGGTGGAGGTGCAGTATTGAGCTCCCATGAGGCTGCCGCTGTTGAAGTCCGGTGTCTCGCCTATCCCGATGGTGGCAAAACCAGCCTTCAGCCAGGTGGAAAACGATTGCGCGTAATTGGCGAAGGAGACATGAAGAGGGTTGTTGCTGGTGGCCGGGAACGCTGCGGCGTTGTACCCTGGTGTGGAGTTGGCGAAGCGTTTGTTCATGTTTGGTGGTGTGAACTGGACGCTCTTTTGGAAGTACGGTAGAGTGTTGGAAAAGGTGTAGCTTGAGTCGTTGACAGAGTCGGCCCACAGCTGCATCGACTGGACTGTTGGACGCTGGTAGATCATGAAGTTCAGGGCTGATCTGTATCATAACAGTCAGTTATGTGACAGAAGAGAGCTGTCTTCCAGTAAGAAGGTTCTTACGATCCGCCCACACATTTTCCCCTGGCAAAATGAATGTCCCTAAAGTTTGTACCTGGCTGGTTTTTGGCAACAAAGTTCCAGTCCACAAGCGGATTGGAATTCAAGGGGTCGCTGCCGATCAGCAGAACATCTAGCCCAGGGGTACTGCTGATGATCGGATTCGTCAGGTCATAGTAGCTGCCTTGAATGTGCGAAGTCAGCTCAGCAAGCCCAGCAACGGAAGGACAACAAATCTCACCTGCTTCAACAAGAGCAACCCTGGCACCGCTCTGGGCCAAACGCACAGCAAGCGTGGTACCCGCTGTGCCTGCGCCCACCACCACATACTCATACTCCGTTGATGTCCCGAGCACAGGAGTTAAGCCGCCCAGTGAGTCAGGAATAAGATTCCTGAGTCGGTTAACAAAGTCTTCAAGAACATGATTTGGTTGTTGGGATTGGCGGGGTGGGATGCGAGCCGCCGAGGCGACCGCGGCTGTGAAGGACAGCCAGGAGAGAAGCATCGTGAAACAGAGGGTATCTTTCCCGTGTTGATAGGTAACCGCACTGTCTGACGATCACGGAACTGGAGACCGAAAGTCAAAGCAACCTCAACGACATGGTTCAGACTCGACATGATCGTCAGGGGGATTAGCAGCTCCTTATACACTATCTATCGACCCGCGAACTCGGTAAGTCCGCTTCTAAATGCTTTTTCCTTGACACAAAGTGCCCCCCCAACGTCAGCGATCCAGAGGAAGTACCCACGCTGCGTGAAAAGAGTTCAAGCTAGCTTCTATCTTCTCAAGATAACCTATTCGCGATCGGTTGTGAAGATCAGAATGCACGAATGGAAAAGGAACTGTTGAAGCCGTCTCCGCTGCGGTAGAGAATGAGCTGAACAGTCAAGGGCTTTGAGCTATGGCACTTTTGGAAGTGATAGACGTCAGGCTGCTTCCATCTTTCGAAGTGGGAACTCGGAAGCCTTTCCGGCCAACACGAATCCACCTTCTTCCAAGTTTTTCGAGATCCTCCCGGATCAACATGTTCGCTAGCGAGCTGTCCCTTTCCTGCTGACTGAAGAATCGACACGGGACGTATTCGTATTTGCCGAACTACTTTAAATGGACTTCAGGAAATCCTGCCATGGACAAAACCGCACTACAATAGACAATGTAACCGGAGTAATCAAATCGAGGGCTGCCATTATGTACGCTATCTTCATTCTCCCCGGTCATAGCGTGGGCCAAGTCATGTAAGCTCCCGTAATTAATTCTGCTTCACTGGGGATGCCAACTTCCCGAGCTACACCCTATCATGGTTGCTTGGACCAGTCACTACTGGCGTATAATTCCTTGCTCTGCTGTACCACAAAAGTGGCGTCGTCCCGCGCCAGTTTTTCCTCTCGCTTGGTTGGACCAACCAGAACGATCAGACAACCTACTCCGGTTCAGCTGAGATCTGATGATTGGCGATGTTGTGCATGATGGAACCCACCCACATCAAGTTTTCAGGGCAATGTCATCTCAACGTAGTACTGCAAATGCACTGTGACCGACGGTGTCTTCCAGCATGTTGCTGTCAACCAAGCCGCTGACGCACGAGGGTAGCAGTCTCTCGAAGCCTTACCATATCCGGCCTGGCGGTAACGAATGTCGGTTGCCAGACGCGGGACACGTGGAGTATCATATCATCATATCATCCTCATTTTAGTCAAAGAGACAAAATACCTCCACCCAATTCTGCAGGGCTAGTCAGCTAGTGTACAGAAACTTCTGGTGTAGTACATCCTTGTTTCATCAGCCAGCCACTCTTGTGCATTATCTGGATCTCTGCAGAATCAGGCAGCGTTTCCCCCCCACTTTGTTGATCAGACCATGCATCCCATGAAGGAATGATCGGCAGTTGACACTTTCACAAACGGTTAGTCCTCCCAATGCTAACCCCAACAGGTCCGCCACCAAGACAGCGGCCAGGCATTCAGGAACAGACGCCACATTCCATGACATGCATGAGTTCTTCAACACCCTGACGGTGATATCTCTGACACCAGTCAACGCGGCATGGCTCACCAGCTCAAAGCCTCTCACACACCAAGATCGCACGATCACAACCATGAAGATCCACAACACACAAAATCAAAATTAAACAAACGCTAAACACTACCTACTCCCCATCCGCCGCCTTGGCCTCCCTAATCAGCACATCCGCCGCCTTCTCACTAACCATAAAAATAGCACTCTGAATAAAAATGCCCGGAATATCCGGAAAAACACTCGCATCCACCACCCTCAACCCATCCACCCCCCTAACCCTGAACTCCGAATCCAGCACCGCCATCGGGTTCCCCTCCTCCCCAATGGGACAAGAACAAGCAGCGTGATGACCCCAAGCCTCATCCTTGATAAACTGCCCAATAGCCTCATCACTCTGCACATGCGCCCCTGGCTTCTCCTCCGTGTAGTTAGTCCCCCCCAAAATAGGAAACTTGTAGTAATCCGCCAATGCCTCCCTTGACTTCCTGATTGCTTGGATCAAGGCCCCCAAGTCCAACTGATCAGCCCCGCCGGCGGTGGTGCCAGTGTCAAAGTAGTTAAAGTTGATCTCTGGCTGATCCAACGGGTCGGCTGATCTGAGTTCCACCGTCCCGGCGCGGTTTCGCGTGTGGGCTTTGAGGCTGTACCAGGAAAAGTGCTTGTGATCACGGACGGAAAAGTCGTGCCAGCCGGGGAAATAGCCCTGGAAATTGAGCGGCCCGCCAAAGATGGAGAGGTCAATGTCTGACGTGGAGGCAAAAGCTGGACCGCTTGAGCATCATGGCTGCTAGTCCGTTGGACGCATAAGCTCCCCTCGCGGCAAGGATGTAAGGATTGTCCAGCCACTGCTTCAGACACAAATCATGAGGCTTGAGATCAAACGTGCAACCGTCAAGAACAGAGAAATCGTCCTCGTGAACGACGTTGACGGGGATTTCGTAGCGGTCCATCATGTTGGTTCCTACTCCCGGGAGGTGTTTGATGATGGGGATGCCAAACCGTAGGAGCTCGGGGGCGGGGCCGATACCGCTTAGCTTCAGAAGCTGAGGGGTGTTGAACGTGCCGGCAGAAACGATGACTTCTCTTTTGGCTTTGGCAGACCCCCTCTTGCCGAAATTGGTGCGGTGAAGGGGGCTGGCTTTGTAGAGGTATTCGCCCTCCATGTACTCCACCCCCGTAGCTCTGGGCTTGGAACCGGTGGTGTTGAAATTGATCTTGGTGACAAAGGTGTTTGTCCGCACGGTGAGGGGATGGCCGTCTGCAACGGTCTTGAGGATGAACTCCCGGACCGCGGATCGTTCACCCAACTTCATGGTGAGGGGCACCTGGAAGTAGCCCTCAGTGGCATCTCTTGCTGGGTTGACCCGGCTGTTGGGGCTCATGAGCAAGAGCTGGGACAGCTTGGCCAGCGGCGTAAGGACAGGAACGTCGATTCCCACGGCGTTAGCTCCAGCGACGAGATGCCGAGCCAGAGGGAGATCTCTGAGCAAAATGGTCGGGTCGGTGGGCATGTTTGGAAGCCATTGGTAGACCTTGTTGAGATATTGGTTCATGTTGCTTGCGGCCCACGAGTCATCGCCAGTGATGGTGGCGATGGTATCAAAGTCTTGCTTGTGAGGAATGATCCAGATGAGGGCATTGTGAGTGACGGAGCCTCCGAGCATGCTGCCGCGAGGATACAAGATGCCCAAGTCCTTGGCTCCAGGAGGAGGATTAGGACCGACATGATACTCGTAAGGACCGATCTCGTAGACATATTTGGGATCTCTTTTGGCGCGGTTTTGGTCTTTGTAGTGGTTGACAAAAATATCCCATCTGAGCTTGGGATCGGCCGTGACGACGGCTTGGTACCCGGGAACCGAGATGTTCACGTTGCCGTTGGCATCGCCGCCAGCTTCAAGAAGCAATGTCTTGTAGCCGGCCATGGCGAGACGACAAGCGAGTGGGCCGCCGCCCGCACCGCTGCCCACGATAACATAGTCAAACTCAGAATCGACATCTCGAGTCGACTGTGCGTTGGGGAATGTTGGGACAGCAGCGATGAGACTGGCCGAGAATGCCAGGCAGGAAGAGAGGAGGCTGAACCTCATGATGGGCAGCGGAGGGTGCAGGTCGTGGTGAGGAGATCAGGGAGGAACCACTGTCCACAACGGGAATGAGGAAGCCATCGCCGCCCTCTGAAGTATCATGGCAGTGTTGGTACCGCGCTTGGGCCAGTCGTTGTCAGGTTGGTATTCAGCCAAACGCCAAGGCAAAACAAACAAGCTTCCAGGTTTGTTTCTGCAACTCGCATGGAAGCTGAAGCGTTCCACAGCTGGCAGTGGTGTAGGCTGTCTCTTGGAGGGCAACCCCTGATCAGTGGGGTCGAACTCGGAGGAAACTGCCCGGGGTCCACTGGGACAGCCGATAGCCAACTGGACATCTTCATAGAAGCCAGAAGTTGGCATTTGGTCTGCATCGCCAGGTCCATCGGACCAGGCTACAAACTCCACATATCCGCCTAAACCGAGCTGTCAAAACTCTTGTGTTAGTACCCCCAGACCTGCCGGGGTAGGTATTTTTGGTGGTCTCATTTGTGATTGGCGTGGGTAGAAGCGGCTCGGGAACCAGGGAATGATAGACGTCATCAAGCTTTATCGATCAATAAAACCATGCTCCTGCATAAACCCTGCAACACATCACAAATCGCTGCACCCAACGGTTGGACGACAGCGGTACAGCCCGCCCCCACTGCAACCGTGACATTCACCCCAAAGTCTACGGTGGGTTCAGTCCTATCAACATCGTCTCGATTTGGAAACTCTTTCGTCGAGCGGGATAGATCCGAATTCGAAAAAGACTATCTTCCAAGGAATTCTCTCCTTGACGAACATGTCATGGTGAAGTGCCCTCTACCTTAACCTCACACGGCAATGATCTGCTGTATCAAAGCGCTTTCAGGCTTCAGCGGAGTGATTATTTTTGCAAACATGGCGATAGGTTGGGCTCGCAAGAAGGTTTTGGATTCGGAAGCCCCTAGCTGCCTGTCCTGCTTTGAATTCGGGCGTCACCGAACCGGCAAGAAGTACATCGTCCTAGGCTTTTAAAGATCAAGCAGGACTCTACGAGCGTCTCCGAACGGGCATCTTTGAGATTGCAACAGCATCCTCGGTACTCGAAGTCAGCATGAAGATTGTCCAGGTTCTGCCCTTTGTGGGCCTTGCAAATGCCCTCCCATGGATGGCTGACAAGCGCCAACAGGTACGTCTGCCTCGTCTCCATGACAAGGCTTTTCACTGACAATGCCCAAGTCCGGTGGTGCCCAGCCCGGCGGTCCTCTGACTTGCCCCTTCAACCCTAATCACCAGCCAGCTGCCAGATGGGACCCAGATTTCCCTTACAACCACGCAAAGCTCGGTCTCCCAGGCAAAGGCAAAGGCGGGTATAAAGTCCCTGCTGATGGCGATACTGCCCATGCCTTCATGCCGCCGACGGACAAAGACATCAGAGGTCCTTGCCCTGGACTGAATGCTTTGGCTAATCGTGCGTGCGCTTAGCAAGACAATTGAAGGGACACCACTAACCCTCACCTACGTAGATAACTTTATTGCCCGTGATGGTATTACCGATTACAACGAGTTGCTCGACGCTCTTCAGAACGTCTACAACGTTGGCTATGACCTGGCGAACTTCCTTGCCTTCTACGCCATCTACGTCGCCGGCCTTGGAGATCCCGTCACCAAGAAGCTGTCCATCGGCTGTGATGCCACCACACGTACCTCGTGGAGCCCAATCATCACTGGCAGCGAGCCCGGCCTGAACGGCCACAGCAAGATGGAGATCGACGCGTCACTCACCCGGAATGATTTCTTCGCTGCCGGTGGTGACAACTTCAGCTTCAACACTACCCTGTTCAAGATGTTTGAACAGTCCACCAGTGGACTCTTTGACGTTGACCGAATCTCCAAGTACCGTCATGAACGGTGGCATCAGTGCCAGGCTGAGAACCCACAATTGTGAGTCTTGACATGCAAAGCAGCGGAAGCCAACCCCTAACCATTGACTCCAGCTACTTCCCCATCCTCGGCCTCTTCCAATACGGCGCCGCCTCCTTCCTCTACGAACTCTGGCCGAATGGAAATGAGGGCTATGTCCCCAACTTGCACAACACCGCCACTTTGTAAGTTTTGATGCTTGTCCATCCATCACATCACCCTTGATGCTAATCTTGTCAAAGCTTTGGAGCCCACCGCCTCCCAGACGGCAACTACCTCCGCGTTCCTGAGCGTATTCCCTCCAACTGGGTCAACCGCGAGAATCCTTACTTCCTGCTAGACATCGCCTCGGAGATCTTCAAGATGTACACCAAGAACCCAGTTGGCTTTGGTGGCAATGCTGGAGGGGAGTTTATTGGCATCAACCACCCTCCTTACATCAATGATGGTGCGCTCAATGCCAATACCACTGCCCAGGATGTCACTTGTTTGTTGTATCAGATCCTCTCGAGGCCGGTTCCGAGCACACTGAATGGTATTATTACTCCTTTGGTTGAGGCGACGGAGGCGCTTTTGATCAGCTTGTTTGGGGTTGAGTATAATAATTTGGGGTGCCCGCTGGCTTTGACGTGAGGGGGTGGTGGGTGTGAATGAGAGGAGGGTGAGTTTGTCAATGGCAACTGGATCCTCATTCTTATATTTAGGAAAAGACATATGTCAATTTGAAAGTTCTGTTGGTATAAAAGTGTTGATTGTTGTAAACTATGGAAAGGTAAACTGAGAAATCCTGCAGACCCAAACAAACCAGCCCAGGTTGGTCCAAGCTCCCTGTGGAGCCAGTTGTACAACAAGTTCTGAACTTATAACCTATACCGCTATGGTTTGAAAACGAAAGGTTTGGTACCCCGTACGTTTTTTTTGGCCCATCTTTCTAGCTAACGTATATTATAAGCGAGTCGTACATATAAGCGAGTCGTACAGTCTCCACCACCCTACAACAACTATCCTCAATTATACCGCAACAACATTAGGAAGTAACTACAATTACATCAGAAACGGCTGAATCAGATGATTCCCCAGCCTCCTGGCAAGTGCGCGCGTTATGGCCAGGCTTGCCGCACACACCACAGCACCGAACCGTCGTACGAGCCCCCCCTATACTACCGCCATCCGGCTATATTTCTTCCACTACCTCCCCACCCACGGCCTTCTAATCTAGTAGATCCTATGTATCTTGCACAATAAGTGATCCTCCGAGCCGTATATATATTTTTTTAGTTTTCCGGCGTTTATTTAGTATTTTATTAGCTTTACGGAGCGAAGAGACCTCTACTTATAAAAGGGTTATTTAATATATTATAGTTATTATATTTTTAATAAATTAATTTATAGTATTTAATATTAAAATCGGGAAATTATTTTAATAATTAATAATATAAGTTTTAATAAATATTAAATATAAAGTTTTATATTTAATTTAAAAAATATTTTTTTTAAATTATATAATATAAAGTTAGTACTTATAAAGTTACTTTATATATTTTTTTTTATTATAAAAATAAAAAGAATTTTATAGAAAATATAAAAAAATTTAAATTTATTTATATAATTAATATATATATATATTAAACCTTTAATTTAACGGCCGTATATTTATTTTAACGGTTTAAAATAATTAATATTAAATAATTAAAGGAAATAAAAAAAATATAAAAATATATAAAATATAATAATATTATTTTATTAATAATAATATTTAAATTTAATTAAATAATAATTTTTATAATTATTAAAAATTAATAATTAATATTTATTTTTTATATAAAATACTATATAATAATTAAAATATTTAATTTAATTTAAAATTTATTAAATTAATAATTTAATTATTATTAATAATTATAATATATTAAATAAATAATAAATTATATTTAATATATTAATTAATAAAATAATATTATATAATTAAAATAATAAAAAATAAAATAATTTAATTAAAAATATTAATTTTTTAAATTATTATTATTTATTTATAATTATTAAATTAAATTAATTTTATTTTATTAAAATTATTTAAAGTTATAATTATTATATTTATAAAAATAATATTTATTATAAACTTAATTTCGTTAAAATTATAAATATTATTATTTATAATATTATATTTAACTTTAATATTCCGTATAAATATAAATTATTTAATAATAACTTTCGGATCTTCGTATTTAACCCTTTAATAGTCGTATTTACGTATAAAATATATATAGAGCTATAACTAACGTTTAATAAAATTATATATTTAAAGTTTATTAATAAAGAGCGTATTATATATATATAGTAATTAATTAATTATATTTTTTATATTATATAACTTTAATAAAAAAGCTTACGTAAATAGTTTAATAATATAATAAATAATAACTTTTTCTTCGGATTAAATAAACTTTTTCGATTTAAGTATAGTATCGCGTTATATAGGCCGGCCGGCGCGTCGGTTAGAGAGAGTTATAGGTGGTACGTTATAAAGCTTAGTTATAGCTCGGAGGCTTAATTTTTCGTTCTTTTAGAGAGCCTTAAGGGCTAAGAGTATCCTGGCTTCTTTTGAAGTAGGAGGTATGTTGGGTTGTGGAAAAAATTGATGTTAGGTGTAAGGAGGACGCGTCGTGGTGGAGACTGTACGACTCGCTTATATATACGACTCGCTTATAATATACGTTACTTATTTTATATAGGCAAATAAATTACCTATAGGATCCTAGTAAGAAAATTTAACTAGAGCGATAAAATTTTTTTAAATAAAGATATAAATGAAATCATTATTATTGAAATATTTTAATGTAAAACATTATAATGTCTTTTACTCTAAAAAAACCTAAGTTGTTGGAAAACAGAAGTATGGGACCCGGTAGCAGCATTGACCGACCTGGGAGGATGATGGGCTTTGGAGAGCAAACTCGTCTCGAGAGAAAATGCGGATGGACCTTGGTGTGGGTAATTTGAAAGGGAACCTGGCATACTAGTTGTATGTGAAGCGGCTGAGAGGGTCGGAATTTTAGGGACGCTCACTAGAGCGTTGGAGGTCCGGATTCACTTTTCACGGCTACCTCAGTGGGTCGCAGCAGTAAGGTATCTAGTTGTAAGAATGGAATGAACTGCCTTTCATCAGCGACAGTGCCGGTTCAAGAGAACCCTGAGAATTAGGCAGAAGTTGTGGAATAATGTGAGGAGGGATCCATGTTCTTAAACAGCGTAGGCCTGATCAGATTTCATGCTGAACAGCTCACGATATGAGCCCGTAAGCCATTTCGGTCGTGATCTATGACGCAGACAAAACGTCAGGTCACTATTAAGAAATCTTTGTCTGTATCCTCCATGTCATGGGAGCGGAGGCCCGTTGTGATATCAGCTGGCACCCCCAAGGTCCAATGAGCTGGAGCAGCCTTAAACCCGAGGCTCCTATATCTCGAGCTTGAGTTTCGATCTCAATGCAGACCTCTCGCTGCCATGCCACAAAATACGCACCAATCAATTTCTTCTCTCGCTAGCCTCCGACCTTTTGACATCGCCAACATTTGCAACCGCATCGCTTTCAGACACCGTTATTTGCCCGGAGAACACATCCATGTTTTAGTTCTACCTAGCTCTACAATCTCTGACAATCATGGTCAGTCACAGGATATCCTCTCGTCATTGGTGATTTCTGGAAGGATGGGCACTAACCCTCAGGAACAGCCCGAATCTCTGGATGTTTCCGGCCTCTACGGCATCGCCAGCGTGGTTGGCTTCCTCCTGGCCGGCTCCCTCATTTTTGCGCTGGCACGAGATGGCCGTAGGATCATGAAGCATTGTTTGGGCCATACGAGCTACGAGGAGAGTGGTACCGATCGTCAACCAGTTGTCTCGATCGCCTCATTCTACCACACCCCTCAAGCCCCTTCTCTGAACAAACTCTACAAGCAGAGGCATTTGTGCCGGCAGCTTCAGGATGTAATAGTTCCCATTCATGTTCGCGACGGTCGCTCAGTCAACATCACGGTGCCTGTCCAAGCTCATCTTCCAGGGAAGCGTGGTGAAACAGTGCCAGGCTGGTGAGATAACCAGTTCGGCAGACCATGTCATCCGGAATCTGCTTTTTCCCATTGAACTTGTTCAATCAAGACAGTCCCACCTGGGTAAGTCTCAGAGACCCCCTGCGTCATTTTTTGAAAGGCTTGGACTAATCTCTTGCGAAACTTACAGCTCAAAAATGATGCTTGAACATAAGGGAAACTACCCAAAGTCACACTGCCTGGTGTATAAGCTCAGCTCTTCTGAGGGAGATCGATCAGGCTTTGGCAACAGAGAAAAGATCTCTTCTATCTCCCCCTGGAACCCAAGGAACATGAAGTGAGCGAAAGGGATGGGATTGGAAGAAGCCAGACGGTGGAATGTAAATGATAGCTTGCATCAACACAGAGAGTTTTGGAAACGAGGTTGGGGTGAACCGTCAAACATCGAGATGGGCCAAGGGAAATACCATGGATAGGACATCACGAAATGGAATGGATAACGAATTTATATTCCTGCTCAGAGACTCAGAGTTTAACACAATTCCTCCCATTTGCCCACCACTATACTTTCACCCATATTGCCACAGGCTGACGCCAGTATCCCTCAAAAAGGTCCCTTGGGTCCAAGTAACAGCCATTAACCGCTGGCTGCTGAATCAATCGTGAATTCGCCAATCAGAGTGCACGCAGAACCTGGAACAGACAAGACTGGGTATCGTGGTATCCACTTAACTATCTAACACTGTTAGATGCATATCGTCAACGACACACCGCACCAACTCACAAGACTAACAGTCCACGGAATTCCGTTAGCATCCGAGGGTCACGATGCAAGCTTCCACGGATCACGAGCGGCGCTGCTACTGCGGTAAGCTATATTAAACCATATCATCGCTAGGCGACATACGAGAGGATGTCCGGCATTTTCTGACGATTGCAAGCGGTTTCTGCGACTACTCGCATATCTGGAGCCTGGACCTGTGCCCACTGCCTTGCTCTTCTTTCATCTTGCAATCCGGGCCACAACCTTTTCCCTCCCTCTTTTTGCTTCCATCCACAACACACCTTCGTTGCACCTCATATTCTCAACCAGACCAAAGGCTCAGTCATTCTGCCATCAGCAACAAAACCTTGTAATCACCGCAAACTCAGGTCGAAGAAATGGTACGTCGACTTCTTATTCAACCTCAACCAACACCAGCCTAGCAATCCAGACCACTACATCCATCCCGACTGCTCATCAACGTCTCTAAGAACCCCACAGGACACCTCAATGAACATCGTGGTAGCCCTGGCTGTCGTTCTCTTCCTCATCATCATCATCACCCTCAGCGGGTACTGTATCTGGATTCGTCGCCTCGCCCAGAACCAACCTCAGCTGCCCATTCACGAACCCCGCACTCCCACAGACACTGGCAGCGATCATTCCGTCCCTTCACCTGAAAGTGTCAGTAGTAACAGCCGGACCGATTCTTCTCCCTGGTCCCGCCAGAGCAACAACAATCAATCCCATTGTTTAGCCTCATCGGCACCCAGCCTCAACAGTGAACCAAGATGAACCAGGGGGTTACTAAAAGGAGGATATGCCAGCTTTGCGCCCCATTTAATCCCGTTTTCACCATTGCAACTTCTCACTACTGCAGACTTGCGGCCAGCGTGCTGAAGGTCCACCATATTTGAGCCGCAGCTCCCAGAAATGCAGTCGAGTGTTGTGAGACCGTATATGGCCCAAACCGCCTCCCATCGCACCTTTCTGTGAATGATGAAGATGCCGGCATGCCGAGAACGTGGAACAAATAATATAAACGGCGCCAGTGTGATCTCCAAACACTTCCATTCCCAAAACATAACTACCTCTTCTCACTATCCCCAACCGTATACCCTCTTGCCACACCCCTCCTCCCCTCCTCAATAGCTGTGCTCTCTTCCTCAGTATAATCACTCCCCAACCCCTGCCACGTCCTCTGCGACCTCAAGAACTCAGCACCCGGACTAACCACCCCATTCACCATCGCCAACTCAGCGTTTGGTCTCAACGCAAGCGCCCCATTCGTCCCATTCATGTTCTCTTCTACCACCCCCTCTTTCACCTCCCCACCCTCCCTCTCCTCCTTAACCTTCCTCACCCTCATCGGCCGACTAGTACTAATCAGCCTCCCAGTCCTAAGATCAAACTCTGGCGGCGCAGACTCCTCTTCACTATCCTCATCCTCCTCTTCCTTCCCCTCCACCACCTCCTCTTCTTCATCCTTACCAACCGGCGCCTTCACTCCCTCAATCCCCCCCCACCAACTCCCCCCCCAAACCCTCTCCCAATCCCCCATCAACGCAACCTCCAACTCAAACGGCGTCACCACCGGCCTAAAAAACCCAGCATCATCCTCCACAAGACTGCTCTCCCAACACCCCACCACCACCCACCCATCAATCTCCGCAAAATTCGCCAGCTTCGCCGGATTCAGCTTGCCAACCACAACCGTATAACTCTTTTTATTCGCCGCCGCAATCCTCTTCCTGAGCGCATCCACCGAACACAAGTAGTTCGATACTGAAAGCGTATTCACCAATATCCCAATGATACCCGCAGTTGACAGAGATAATAGCTTCGCATACCGCCGGCCGAGGAGTCGTCTTGCGGAGAGGGAGCTAGATGATGGAAAGGGGGAGTGGGGCGTGTCGTGGATGTAGAGGGAGCCTACCCTCGAGGAGAGGGCTAGTAGCAGGGCTGTTGGGGGGGTGGAGATGTGGAAGAGGGAGTATTCTTGTAGTGAATCCCCCTCCGGTGTAGAATCGGAGGAGGCGCTGTGGGAGACGATCTTCCGGTTGGGCAAGATGTTCGTTGGGTCATGGGTGATGGCCGTGGAGTAAATATTTGTGTATCCCTCCGACACAAGACGTGAGGCAACCGCCGAAACGTGGGATTGATACGTCACATCCGCCATGATAACCACCTTTGCGTCTTTTCCCGGGTATTCCCTCTCGAAAGCTTCGACCGTCTCGTCGAGGTTGAGCCGATGTTCGGTAAACACGTAGATAACAGGTAATCGGGACGTGGGCGAGAGACACGACCGGCCGTAGTGCACCACAACCTGGGCATCGGCGTGTTCAGCCGCTACTTCATCAACACAGCACGCGCTGTAGGAAGTGTCGGCCAGGATGAATATCTTCTCGTCTTGTTTTGGCCCGGATGATTCCTCCTCTTCTTTTCGGAGAGCAGTCAGCTCATCCTTGAGCGCCTGGACTAGCCTCGGCGCATCGACCAGCATCGCGTCTGGGAATTGTAGGGCTATCGTCTTCCATTTTCCCAGTCGCAGTTCTCGCGCCGTCCGTGCGACTTCGTAGATTTGGCGGAGCTCGTCGTCGGTTTTTCGCGGCGCCTTGGCCTCGGTCTTGGAATCTGGGCTGGCGTACTCGAAGAGGTGTTCGGCCGGGGTTGACAGCACCGGGGCGGAGGATAGTTCGGTCATTTTTGGTTTGTTAGGCTGATCCTGGACGGTGTGTCGCCGGTGGTAGTCGCCGTCTGAACGGTGACTTGGAATTTTTTCTTTGGCGAATGCGGGGCACTGTTGATCTCCAGATTGCCCCGCGCTTGGGGTGACGTCGGGCGGGCCGCTGATCCCCCACCAAATTGTGCCTGGCGCAAAGTCCCGGTAAGGCAGTTATTCTAGTGGGGCAGTAGCTTGAAGAGCACTGAGACATGAACACAGCTCAAAAATCGACGACGAGGACGCGTGAGATGAAGATTATTATTTAGTATATGTACAACAAATTTGAGCGCCAGAAAATACAAGCATCGCTAATACATCGCTTCTACCATCCATTATGAGATCGCGGTCCTAGAAGACCGTCAGAGGGTTCCACCCCACAGCAAGCACCCTGGTGGCTGTGTAGAAAGCCAACGCAACAGCATACGAGATGCTCGAAAACAAAATCACGGCCGTCCAACCCGACCCAGATAACAAGGCGCCTCCAATTGGGACACTGCTCAGCGTACCAAAGCTGGCCACCATCATCGCCGTTGAAAACAGTCGCCCAAACTTTCGGTGATCGCAGAGCTGACCCAAGCACACCGGCACCAAGCCAATGTTGCTGCCACTGCCAAACCCAAACAGCACCGCGTATGCAATCAACATCGAATTCGAGTGGCCAGCCGGCAACCACAGCGCCAGTCCCGTGATCAAGCAAATGGCGATAGTGATGATAATAACGTTGAACCGCCCAATCTTATCCGCCAGAATTCCCGGCAACACACGTCCCAACACGGACCCGGCGTTCAGGTATGACAACAGCAGATAACTTTCCGTCGCATCCTGCCCGTGGTCAACCGCGTACGACACAATATAAGTCAACGGAACGAACAGGCCCCACTCCATGAAGAACACACCGAGAGCAGCGCATGCGAACCGGGCATCTTTGAACACGGAAAAGTCGGGCCAGACCGACTGCACCTTTTCGCCCTTGGCGGGGGGCAGTCTGGTCTTGATGAACAGATTGGCTGGGATGGCGAGGCCGAGCATGATCAGGGCGAGCACTCGGCTGCTCCAGTTGAACCCGATGGTCGGCAACAGCTCTCTCAGCACAATGGGGAAGATGACGCCGCCGATGCCGCCCGCTGTACTCGCAATGCCTGTCGCAAAACCTCGACGGACGTTGAAGAAGTGGGCGATGGAGCCATAGGCGGGACAGTTGAGGAAAGCACCGCCCAAGCCACCCATGACGGAATAGGTGAGGATGATCTGATAATATTCTGCAGGGTGATGGTCAACCTCCGCCGTCTATCATTTCAGAGAAGGAGGGGCACTCACCAGTACACCAGCTCAGCAACAACAAACTGAGCGTGATCAGCAAACATCCCACAGCAACAATCAGCCTCGCGCCATATCGATCAAAAATAGGCCCAACTTGGACCCCCACGAAAAACACAATAAAGAGGTACAAGCTAAAGATCCAGCCAATCTCGCTTGGCGAGTTGTCCTTCAACTGGTGCGTCGAAAAGTACGATTCAAACACAGCGGCCGAGTTGATCAATCCGTACAGCGACAACATGGCACAAAACGACCCAAACACCACCAACCACCCCGTCACACCTCCCTCGGGAAAGTCAATCGTGGTCGCCGCCGATGGTGAGCGTTCCAGCTCGAGCTCGGGATCCTTCTCCGTGGTTGGGCCATAGTGGTTGGCATCCGGTATGGTACGTCGCGACGCCACTCTGACTGGCTCTACCTCAGGTTCGGTATCAGACGAGGAGGCGGAATCAGTTGGCGATGTCTTTTCACCATCAGCTATTGGAACATCCAATGTCGAGTCTGATGATGAGTTGTTGGAACGGTGGTGTGGTGGTGATGACGACGAGGAAGAATTGGTGACGCCATAGGGAGCGCTTACACCAGCATCCCCTGTTGTGGTGGTGACATGACTCTCTCGCGGCGGCGGCATTTGCGTCTCTTTATGAGCTTTGAACCCCGGAATGCGGGAACGACGCCCTCTCAACACCTCTCCCGACCAAGCCGGAAAGTGGGTATTTTCTTTTCCTGTTGCGGGATGAGAGAGGGCGGGGAGCGGATTTCGGCTGTTTCCGGTCTGGATGATTGAGGATCGGTACCGATGCGGTGATGTGGGGCCGGTGTTTAGATGTTGCTGATCTTTTGGTTCTACAGACAACAACAGCTTTTTTTTCTTTCTTCAGATGGTGAAGAAGGAAAAGCGGAAGAGGAGAAAAGAAGGGGACCAGTCACACTGATGAAGAGGGCATGTATCGGGAAAGAGGGGGCCGTGGCCGACAGCTAAAAAGAAAATTCGCCCGCGTGGGTCCGGTCCAAGGAGTGCTTTCCCCACAGTTTGACTTCTAGATTGGATTATTCCCGACCGGCACCCTTCCAAACGGCTTCGGCATTGCCTCCAAGGGCAGGTTGGGGCGGGAAAAAGCTGACATAATTGGCGGTGAATTGGTCATGGAAATGTTTTTTCCTTTGCCCGCTTCTGCGTGGGTGGGTATGGATGTGTGCCTGACATGCATGTTATGACAACGTCCGAGCGGCCACCGGCAACGCCTCCCGTGAGGCGCTACTATCGGGAGACGGAGGGTGTGACGGGAGGGCCCGATCTTTCGGGGGGAGTTCCCCGTTTTTTTTTTTTTTTTTTTTGTTCGGCAAGCTACCAGTTGTCGCAGTGATTTGCGGTCAAGCAAACGACGGTTGGGGATTCTGGAATCGTCGAGACGTCGAAGGGGGAAGGAAAAAAGCCAAGAGATTTGTGGATGGGTCTCGGCATGCGGGCGGCTGGCGGTTGGCTGCATTGCTGGCTGCCGTCATCCCTGTCATTTCTTTTGACATCCGCTTCCTCGAGTGTGGGCGTCGGAACCGAACATCGCGATGATGCACTCGAGATTTGAATTGATGTTACACAACGTGAGATATCGGATGCGGGGGAATGGATATCTTAAAGGGATATTCGTTCGTCCATTGAGATTGGAACCCGTTGTTTGAGCCCCCGCGGACGTGTATTTTGGGGCAATTGACTGGATTGGACGGCTCGGATGCCAGCGACCGAAGCCTGAAAGGGACTGTGGTTGGCAAACATTAACGTAAGTCGGCTGCCGAGCTCTCCAGATTGGTGGGAGTTGGAATCTAACATTGGTGTGTGCTAAGCCGATCGCTGATTGGCCAGCTCGTCAAGATTTCAAACAACCTCAGGACTGGGCACGGCTGATGTCTGGGTGGCTCGCCAGATGTGTTAGCGGCGCAAGTGTGGCCCACAAGAAACTCGCTGGCGATTGGTCGACTCGCCAAAATCACATCCTACGAGGCTGGGGTTGATGATGAGGCCTTTGAACACGAAGGTGTTGGTTGTTCGTGATGGGCAGGTTTGATTTAGGGGGCAGTGGCTGAGACTTTTCTTTCTTTCTGGAAGCTTTTGATCATATCTGACAGAAGTTCTATAGGTCTGTGCAGATTGATCTCAAGAGTCTATAAGAAGAGACCGTAGACCAATTTTTTGGTTGGAATCCTCTTCTCAGCCCAAGCATCACATAGTCGTGGTCCCACTCCTATTGTTGCCTGTTCCAGCGCTGCCAAGCCTCCAAGCCTACCAGTTTCGTCTCAGTCCAACTTTGAGAGACTCGAGGTCCCAGCTCGACGGTCTCCAGGCCGAACTTATCTCCTATTTTATGACCTACCTGTCTCTTTTTTCAAAATGCGTCTCCTTCTATTGCTCCCCCTCGCCCTCTCACTTGGCGCCTCCACCCAAAACTTCGTCAACCCATCCCAAGACACCACCCTCCTCTTCTCCTCCAACTTCCCCGGCGCCTCCATCACCTACAAAGAAACCACCGCCCTTCTCTGCGAAACCACCCCGGGAGTCAAATCATGGTCCGGCTACGTCCACCTCCCCTCCACCCTCCTCGCCGATGTCCCCTCCTCCCTCGACATGAGCATCTTCTTCTGGTACTTCCAGGCCCGCAAAAACCCTGAAGAAGCTCCCACATCCATCTACATCAGCGGCGGCCCCGGAGCCTCGGCCTTTGACGAGACAAACGGGTTTCCTTGCACTTTCAATCCAGACGGTAATTCAACCAGATTGAACAACCAGAGTTGGAACGAAGAGGTCAATATGCTGTATATCGACCAGCCTGTCGGGGCAGGGTTCAGTTACTCCAAGATCGTCAACGGGGTGGTGGACTTGATGGACAGCCTGTCTGAAGACGGCTCATTCTTCACTCCTGGAACGGTCGAAGAACTCCAACAAGACAGTCTCAACTTGACTGTAGCCCCTGCTACCATCCAGTCCCTCGACCCCCGAGATGGGATCAACACCACGCAACAGGCAGCGAGGGTGATGTGGCAGTTTACCCAGGTCTGGTTTCGGGAGTTTCCGGGCTATGATACCTCCAATAAGGAAATTAGTCTTTGGACTGTTTCGGTTCGTCTTTCCCCCTTACCCCTACCCCTTATTCCCGCATACTAACCTCCCTTCTCCCCCTCAGTACGGCGGCTTCTACGGCCCGTCCTTCATGGCCCACTTCCACAGGCAATCCTCCCTCCCAAATTCATTCCCCCTCCAGCTCTCCACCCTAGGCATCCAAAACGGCTGCTTGGACGTTCTTACAATGGGCTTGTCATACCTCGACTTTTCACTCAACAACACTTACGATATTCAAGCATATCCTGAAGAGGTGTACTCCTCCGCCAAGACCAATCTCACTGAGTACTGCCAACCCCTCCTCCTATCCTGCCGGCAGTCAGTCCAAGAAGGCGACCCGTTGGGGTATGGAAGCAACAGCACTGTCAACCAGGCGTGTGCCCTAGCAGCGGGTGTCTGTTTTGGGTTTGTCCAGGGGGCGTTTACGAGCTACTCCGACCTCAACCCGTTTGATATTACGCTGTCGCATCCGGAGACGTACCCCCCGTTGCACTCGGTCGGGTACCTTAATCAACCCTGGGTTCAAACCGCGTTGGGAGTTGCGGTGAATTTCACTGCTGGGTCGAGGTCCACGGGGGGTGTCTTTTTCGCCTTGACCGGCGACCCGATGAGGCATGATCTTTCAGATTTGAGGTACGTTTTGGAGAATAATATCAAAGTCGCGATGGTGTATGGGGATTTGGACTATAGGTGTAACTGGTTTGGGGGGGAGGAGATCTCCCTTGCTGTTGGGGGGGAAGAGTTCAGAGAGGCGGGGTATGCGGATGTTGATGTTGGGGGGGTGGTTGGGGGGTTGGTGAGGGAGGTGGCGGGGTTGAGTTTTGTGAGGGTTTTTGATGCGGGGCATAGTGTTTATGGGTATCAGCCGGGGGTTGTGAAGGAGGTATTTAAGAGGGTGATGGACGGGAGGGATGTTGCGAGTGGGAAGGTGGTTGCCGACGGGGGGTATCGGAGTCAGGGGCCGGTGGATGTGAGGGGGGTGAAGGTTACTGCTACGAAGGGGAGGGATGCGGGGTGTTTTCTTGCGGATGTGGGCAGGACGTGTGATCAGGGGCAGGTGGAGGCGTTGAGGGAGGGGAGGAGGGTGAGGGTTGAGGGGGGGAGGGTGGTTGAGCCTGGAAGAGAAGGGGAGACGAGTGTGGATGGGGATGGGAAGGGCGGGGAGGAAATGGAGCAGGTTAAGAGTGGTGGCACTGTGAGGGAGACGGCCGCGATGGCTGCGGTGATGGTTCATATGGGGTTAATGACTTTGGCCGTTCTATGATGTGGTGTAGAGTCTGGGTGCGTTGGCTGGCTGCTCAAGGTGTCATTGGCTACATCCTTTTGGATGGTTCTTCTGTATGGTCCTGACGATATCTCTCACTTCTCATTGGACGTAACCCGTAGGTTGCCTGATTGCTGCGCCATGACAGTGCATCGGCAGGATTCTGACATGTCACCCCGAATTGTGATCCTGAGGCTGTTGGGAATCGATAACTATTCTTCAAATTTCAGTAACCCTACGCTCATCTAGAAAAAGGTTCACGCCCAAAAGAATGGTCGCGCCAAGGAGCACGAGATCGAAACGTGGATGCATTACCTGCAGGTACGTCACCCATCTGACCCATCTCCTCTTCAACACACTGACACTGCCCAGAATCCGCCGCGTCAAATGCGATGAAACAAAGCCCCAATGCAGCCGCTGCATCAAAGCCGGCCGCACCTGCGATGGATACGCAGCCACATCATCACAGCTAAGCGGCCGGGACATGGCAACCGCAGTCAAAACCCTCCAAGTCGTCGGGCCAGCAGCCAGAGTCCTGGGGGAAGCCGTCCTAACCGAAGACTCTGCCTGCTTTGACTTCTTCCGGATGTGCACAGTCGCCATGACCAGCACCGCCTTTCCCGCCCCATTCTGGTCCCGCCATGTCCTCCAAGTGGCACATTTCGAGCCGGCGGTGTGGAAGGCCGCAGTGGCAGTCGGGGCACTGCATCGGAGGTGGGAGTCGAGAAGCAAGATTCGGCTTCGGCCTAAGCCTATCAATTCAGGCGTGGCAGGAGGGAAAACAGAGGAGTTTACCAAACAGGCCATGCAGCAGTATTGGGGTGCTATCAGTATGGCGCGCACCATCCAGGATCCAGGGGTGCTCATGGTTATGAGCGTTATTCTCGCCGCGGCGGCGAATATGGCTGGTGAATGGGCAGCAAGTCATGTTCACATCCAATCCGGGCTCAAACTCGTCGCTTCTCAGTCACCCCACAACACCATGTCCGGCGAGATAGCCTCGATCGCCCAATCCCTCTCCCGTCTCGACCTCTTAGTCATGACATTCGAAGACTCCCGCGCCCCCTACGCCTATGCCGACCCCCTGACCGGCAAACTCCCCTCCTCCATCCTCAACATGCCCCGCGTAGGCAAGCTCGACGATTTAATGCAGGCATCAATGCATCTCTTTGGCATGTTCCGGTACTTTCTCAGCGTCGAGGGCGGGTACATCTTGGGTTTCGTCACCGAGGAAGAGGATCTCCCCCATTTGCAAGCCCGAATCGCCGAAGACGTCATCCGTTGGAAAATCGAGTTTGAGATCCTGGCCAACAGAATCTCTTCTTCGGCGTCCCAAGCAGAGCGAACCACACTGCTATCCTTAGAACTCTACCACTCCGTCTTGTCTCTCATGTCCCGCGCGGGAATCGCCGGCCCGGCAGTCAGATGGGACGCCTACACTGACGAGTTCGCCCGCGTCATTTTCTTCTGTGAAACCATCAACAAGAACATCTTCTCCCCGTTGCCGTTCTTCATGTCCCTCGAGCCAGGCCTGGTTATGCCGTTGTTTTTGACCATAACCCGGTGTCGCCATCCCATCGTCCGACGCAGGGGGCTGAGGTTGTTAAAGTCGTTGAACCGACAAGAGGGAATGTGGAACAGCCCTGCCGCCTGTGTGGTTGCTGAACAACAGGTTCTGGCCGAGGAAGAGCATCTCGAGTTTCCACTGCCGCTGTATATTGAGAACTTGGATAACATGCCGATGGAGGGGCCCACCGGGGAAGGATGGGAGAGGAGCATGGCACCGGATGAGTTGAGGGTGACGAGGGATCAGGTGGAGATTGATGTGGATAGTGGGAGGATCGAACTGAGGCTGTATACGGGGCTGGGAGAGGAGGAAAGGGAGGTTAAAAGGGTGAGTTTGGGGTACTAGGTACAGGTATATAACCATACTTTACGTTATATGATCTTTAACGTCTCCGTGTGACCGAGCTCAAAGAAATTTGACTTGACATCAGGGTGACCCCTGGCATAATCCGTCTTCTCTAGAAAGAAACTGCCCCGACGCTGACACAGTCCAATCTGATCACCGGCTCCTCTCTCAACCAAAATGCCAGCCACTCCTTGGGTGTGCCAGACGTCCAACGCAATAAGCAAGAGCATGCTCTGAAAATCGCTATTGGCCAGCGTTGTCATTATGGCCTCTTTGTCCTCCGGAGAATCTTCCAACATCTTGATTCCCAAAGAGGCCGGTCCGACT